GGCTTCGATAGTGCCAACTGATGCTTGTTTGTTTCCTTGGCCGTACTTTACATTTCTGATGCGCTTCTTCTTTGTCGCTGACTTGGCTTTAGTGACTGTCTTAGATGAGGCCTCAGATTCAGAATCACTGTACAGCGACTTCACCTCTCTGACATGTTTCTTAGTTGAAGGCCGACCTGCTTCTTCATAATTTATAACCTGTTGTACAGCTTCATGTATATCTGAGGGGTCCTTGACGTATTCTACATGAAATTGGGCTTCTCTGTCAGCCAGACCATCTAAAAATTTCCTGAGCAAGTCTTCCTCTCTAGTCTTTGAGTCTCGCTCTGGGTGGGCTTTGACATACAGGCGCTTCAAATCAGCAGCAAAGTCCTCGACTCGCTCACCAGGCTTCTGAACTCTGTTATTAAATTTTGACAGATATGTACGACTGGTTTCGATTGCACGAAAACGATTGGTCAGTTCCTTTTATAAGTCTCTTATAACTACTTCTGGACTCTTTCGATAATTGGCCGTAAACAAAGTCAGCAGCATCTTCATGTAATCTGGGCAGTAATTGGTCCAGTTTGTCGTCTGTTGTCCAGTGGTATCTATCTGCAACTTCCTCAAATCGACAAAACCAGACAGACCAATCTTCTTTCCCTGTGTATGGAGGAATCTTTACATTGTGATGCTTAGCCCTTTTCCGGTACACAAAGTCAGACTGTGATGTTTCTCTGTCGCTACTCAAACACTCGTGAGACGTGCTACATGTATCTGATTGTCTGTTGTCAGGGTTGGTCCTTTGGTGGTTATCTTGTTCAGAGAGCTGTTTAATTTTCTCTTGTAAATGCTCTACCATCTCCGTAAGCTGGACAAGTGCAGTTTGCTCGCTTTCTGTCCTTGATATATCTCGTGCACTTCTCATGGGAGCGGAAGTCTGATTCAGCATCACAGGTACAGAACCTGTACACAGACTCACAGGCACAGAACCTGTACTTAGACCAACAGGTACAGAACCTGTACATGTACATGAGCTTACAGGTACATTACCTGTACTAGAACTTACAGGCACAGAACCTGTACACAAACTTAGAGGTAAATGAGTCCTCGCGCAAACGTTGTGACCTGGTGTTGTAATTGTGGGGAATGGAGTAAACATATGGGCGCTCTGGTTTTGTTGACAATAAACAGGACCTTGAAAACTCACAGTACAAGGAACTGCATAAGAGTTTACAGGTAAGGTAGTGTGGTAATTTGAACCTGTACATGAACTCAAAGTGCTGTGTTTATGAGAGTTCACAGGTAACCCATATACTGGACTTGCTGTCTGCGTAATGGAGGGGCTCATGTGAGTACCTGTACTGGGGACTGCAGGTACATACATACTAGGGACAGCTGTCGGCTCTCTAGGAAAACCTGTACACAAATTCTCAGCAAAATGTGAGCAAACAGGTACAAAAGGCATCTGAGTTGTGGGACCACAGGTGTGAAGATGGCTCATTTTAGGCGTAACTACACTGTTTGTTGTCTGTGGCTGCTCTGTAGTGGTACTCACAGTTACAGAAACTGTATCTGAGTTCCCAATAAAAGGTGTAGGTTCTCCATCTCTCACAACGTCTGCCTGAGAACTCACAAGCATTAAACTTGTATCTGAGTTACGTAAAAATTGAGAGGCTTCTTTATTTGAATGAACAAGTGGTTTAGTTCTGTGCATGTCAGCTCCTTCACACGGAAATTCACATTCGCTTTCATTTTCTCTTACAGTATCTACAGAGGAACACGAAACTCGTGAGGTAGGTCTGGATTCTTGAAGACCACGACGTTTCCGTCGACTTCTACGTCCTGCCATTGTGATTTATTTTTATTTGATTTGCTTAATAAAATTTTTGTTTCTCAAACACAGACAAAGCGTTGTTATGATTCGATCACAGGACCCGTAAATTTAAACGGATCCCGCCGTGGATGCCAAAATTGTAACGCTTCGGAACGCCTGCCTTGTGTTGAGAACAAAAACTTCGATGTAAAGTTTTATAATTTTATTCAGTAATACATGAACAGCGAAAATAAATAACAATGTTTGAAATTCACACAAGTCTCAACCCTCGGGACATAGATCTAAGACCAAAATCAGTACAACTACTGATATAGAACTGGGCAACTGGCACTATTTCCAGTAAATTTATGATTTAAGTAGAAATTCCCCCGACCAAAATAAAACGTAAAGGCTCTCTATAAATGACTTATAATTAATTTACAAATAAATATTCCCGCTACTAGTTCAACTACTAGCACGCAGCAGAAATATTTCCTAACTCCTAAACTGGGCTAAAGAAGATAAAAATAACTAGTTCACAACTAGTAATTATAAATAAAACTAGTACAATTACTAGTAATAATTAATTTAGCCTAACCTAACATTATGTATTATGTACTTCAGTCACAAAGATACTGAACTAGTACACACCTTAAATTACTCTGGACAAAACTGGCAACCTTTCCCTAGGTCACAAAGAAAACAAGAGAGCAAACGATATTCAGCATCTGGGTATTTATAGAATTAACAAAACCCGCAATAATTCATAACCAATCATAACTAATAATTCCATCCCGTAAATAATAATCAGCCAATCAAATGCAATTATCGTCCCGTAACGAAATCTCACTCTCGTACATCGTATGTAAAATTATTACAAAACATAAATAAATTAAATAAATTCATAAAACATAAAGTTACACTTTTAAAAGCTCATTTAACACTGTTTAACATTTAATTTAAAAAGAATTTACAATCAAATCTTCCGCCGAAATAACTCCAGTAAAAAAATAGATCACCGTGAAGCATCACGGGAAAATACACAAGTAAACAAAGTATGGCGGCGGCAGAAGTTTCAGTGAAACGTGTGTACTCGAAGACCATAAAAACATCGATCACACAAGAAATAAGGTAACTTTAAGACAATCCTAAATTACAACACAACTTTACAATTACGTAAGTACAATTCAGCCAACAAAAAGCGTGTAATTAAATAGCAAGACGATGTCCGACATTCAACACATCGAAACCATAGGCGATTGACACAGATCTTCGCTACATGTAAACAACCAACGATTAAGAAATAAATCAAATGGACATTTCAATATTCTATAAGAACTGATGGATGAATTGAAAGTATGCATGAAAGTGCTTTAGAAAAATACCAAGATAAAAAAAATGAGATACAAGAAAAATGGGGGGAGGGATCGTTACACCAGTATAAAACTTAAATCTTATTTGTGAATAGCTTAAGAGACCGTTTGAAGGCATTCTATGCGTGCATGTCACAGAACTCAGTTGGTAAAGGATCTATTTTAGCTTTAGGGCGAAATGACTTGCCACCCTTATAGCGCCCTCTTTCGTCTTAAGTAATATGCAACCTTGCATAATTTACAAATCACGAAAGTACATTTCATAAGTTGACGAATCGCAAGTCTACGAATTACACGTGTTCGTTGACATAACTTGCATTCACATTTTTACACTTGTCAAGTTATGTTGGATAATTTACAATTAACAAATTATGAAAGAACAATTGACAAATTATGAAATTAAGATTTACAAATTACAAATTCAGGTTTACAAGTGTACATTTCAAGGATTACAGAACTGGAATTTTGAACCCGTTGGCTTTCCATAGAAGTGAAATGAACAATGTCAAGTCATTTACTTTTTGTAATACATGTAATTTTATACTTGTCTGTTCTGTAATGGGTTAAAAATAGATAATAAAAAAATTGTTCTGTTCTTTTCATTTTGATCCCCACTTGACCTAGGGGTTATGATCATAGGCACTTGCATGGTTTCAGGTTTGTGCTGCATAATGTCTTTTTCTATAAATACACTGTATACAATGCACATGTGTCTGATTAGGTCTATTACACTCATTAACACTAAAATAAACAAAATGTGTTTGTGAAACAGTGATGCCCCTGTATGGCAGCTTAATTATGGCAAAGGTTGTAGTTATTTTTTCAAATGCAAATCAAACTCCGAGGTCAAGGTCAAAAGGTCAAATTTTTGGCATCAAAAGAAAGGTCTTGTCAAGGAAAATACCTGTAAACTATGAATGCTCTAGTACTAACGGTTCAAACGTTATGGTCGGGTTAAATTTTTTAAAGGGTCGAAACGCTAAGGTCGATGTGAAATTTAACCCATTGAAAGGGCGACCTTGTCACAGTGAATACACATATGAAGCATGAAAGTCCTTGCATCAATTATTTAAAAGTTATGACCAAATTTTTGGTAAAAATGGGTCAAACTTCAAGGTAAAGATCACAAAGTCAAATTTTGTGGTACCCGAAGAAAGTTCTTGTCACAAGGAATTCACCTGTGAAAAACGAAAGCATTGACATACGCACTCAATAGTTATGACCAAGGTTAATGTTTTTGTGGGCAAACAGACGAACAGACAGACGGACAGAGAGGGCAAAAGCTATATACTTCCGAATCGTCCATTAAAGAGACACTGATAAAAATCGCTGAAATGAGCACTTTTATATTATTATACTTTCAGTGTATATAAAAAGAAGGCACAGCTACAATGTATATGATATTTTCAAAACATGCTACAGGTAATTTCAGTGATTTTTGCTTTATATTTACAAATGAGTGTATTATACATAATACACTTTTCAACATCCTGAAATCAAACCTACGTATATGGTCATGATTCGAACAAATTTGAATATCTACACTACCTGAAAATGTTTTAAATTTGACTGATCAATGCTTCGCAGTTCTTAAGAAGATTTTAAAAGATTTTCCTATATATGTATCCATAAAAAGAAATATTTGTCGATACAAAGTCGCGGTCTTTCGTTAGAATCTGCTCAGGTGTGATCAGTCCATCTTTTTATCTGGACATGTCACATGATACAAATGATTCCTGCAAACTACTCACCATCATCATTTCATTATCGTTTTTAAATTGAAAAATTGTTACGTGTTGAATTCTTACTTTAAATTACGAAAGGCAACTTACATGAATGAAATAAATAGAGCGCCAATAACGCAGAATATGACAGGAAAACATCCATGTGTAACTCTGTTGTGCCATGTACAATGTACTTTAGAATGCAAAAGAACTAGTTTTATATGTATACAACTTAACCCTTTTCACAAAAATGTGTCAAACAGAAGTATATGCCACTTGAAATTCTCTGTTTTACATTCAATTTTTTTGGACACTTAAAATAAGGGTCAAAGTCCTGTAGTTTATTTTCTCGGTTCGACACACTTTCGGACATGCCTCATCCAGCGGCATAGTTCTCACATCCGATTATAAAAAAGTGCTCTCTCTCTCTCTCGCTCTCTCTTTCAAATTACTAGTAGTCTAAAGTCACTGCATGATTCATAGGCGTCGCAACCGGGGGGGGGGGTTAGCTCCCCACTTTTTTTGCAAATATATAAATTATATAGGCATTGAAAATTGGGTTTGCCTTTTTTGTTGGTTTAGCCCCTCCCCCCTTTATAAGCCCCCCTTTCGATTTGCTTCCGACACCTATGTGATTAAACCGTGATATATTTTCTTTTAATACAAGAATGACCAGTGAGAGGGCGTCTTTTTAATGATGTACTGTACATCGAAAAACGATGCAGTTTAACAGTACATATTTCATTAATAACAAGAATAAAAGAAAAATAAAAGTGGTTCATAATTAGCCTTCAAAAAATATGACAAGGTAAAAGAGAAAAAAAAAGCAATTAAAAAAATCGCAAAGGGGGGGGGGGCAAACGGAAAGATTCACAAACCTAACAACAAAAAGTGGGAGTTCCCCTTCAATATAAATTGAAACTAACGTGGAAGCATCCTGGTGTAATGTAGATTAAAAATTGTTCAAATCATGAGCTCCGGGGTGGGGGTAAATCCATATCTGTCCCCTTTTTCTCTCTCTACCTTTTGGTTTTTATTCCGGAATTATAACATTTTGTTCTTATTTTAGTGACAAGGACTTACTTCCAGTTTTGAATTGAAAAAGAGTAGTATGTTGGGCATTTTCAGTACTTGTATGAATTGTTTTACCTTTTAACATGATTGATTCCTCAAAATAGACGGATTGTTAGTCAGTCCAGTATTCTAGGATTGTATTTTAATGAAATTAACGCCGAAAAAATTAACACCAGACGTTGAAATGTTTTGGCGCTGAGCGTAGATTAAATTTTTTCAAGTATTTAGCCAAGTAAGGCGAGACTATGGTTCATGACAGAAAATTGGAGAAGAGCAATAAGATACTTAGAATCAAGAGTGTCCATGGACGGAATATCAGCGTGGTTAGGGAAGTATACAGGAGAGAGGATGTACCCTGTCAGAGTCAGCTATGTCTTAGTGACTGTCAGAATGTTTCAGGTAACAAGTACTAAAAATAATCTATGTTACCAGAGATATATTATCAGCCATATTACATATAGGACAAGGAATAGGGCTGGGATGATACAACTTTTTCTATATCGATACGTATCACGATATTTGAGCCATGATACGATATGTATCACAATATGTTTAATTGCTTATAAAATCTTTTTTTGCATTGAAATAAACAAATTATTTCTTTGCAAACAAGAATAATTTATTCAAAATAGTTGTTTATTTGTTGTAAAACAAAAATATTTTACTCAAGTGGTGTTAACTATTATTTATTTCATATCTATATTTATATTTAGCTTATTTATTTTATATTTTAAATGTTAAATAAACAAAGAAAAACAAAAGTAAGATTTTTTGGGGCGATATTTTGATATTTCTTCATATGTTTTGATATGCGTATCGTCCTAACAGATATCACGATTTATTACACACTTAGTAATAAATACAGATTTTTTGCATATGCGAAATGGCTGACGTCACAATAGCCGTATCAGCCCTCCAGGGCTGATATGGATTTGCAGGGCTGATAACCTATATCAGCCCTGCAAATCCCTATCAGCCCTGCAGGGCTGATACGGCTATTGTGACGTCAAATATCACACCCTTAGTAAATTAAACCACTAAAACAGTACTTGTGATCATACGCAATTTTTGGTGGGTTCATATTCTCTTAATTTTAACTTTAAAATAAGGTTAATCTTAATTTACAAATACTTGTAATAGATTAATGTCAAATTACGGATCTAGTGCATTGAAATAGAAGTAGAAACAAACCCAAATCGTATGAGACAATAGACCATGTACATGTATGTAAGAAGTCCATGCATGATTATTTACTTATTTTCTTCTCAACTTAATGTATGCTGTATTTTATTACTAAGTATGTAATAAACATATTAATACATACCCTTTTCCACATCACATCCTGTATCAGCTCTCGACCAATATCAGCCCTCGGGCCTTCGGCCCTCTGGCTGATATTGGTGTCTTGGGCTGATACAGGATGTGATATGGAAAAGGGTATGTATTATTCTCTATATATCGATATCTTGATATAAATTGTCCCAGCCCTAACAAGGAATACACCGTGCTTTTATTTCCAATAATAAAGGGTATTAATTACTGGCCTCTATCAAATTCATTACTCATATTTGTCAGTATATCGTTCAGTATGAATTTGAAAGATGTTAAGTATTTAGTTCCATATTAGAACATTTTCTTATTTACAGGTGAAAGTGGACTAAGTTTGCTCCCTGCAGATACAAACCATTACCTTGTCCCGGACTGTCAGGTAGCTCGAGAATTCCTGGAAATCCTGGAGAATCCCGTGGTTACAGGAATCATATTCTTGCAAACTGTGGTTCATTCAGTAAGCTGACATATCTCACAAGTGTCCATAGAGTTTACTTTTATTTATCACTACCAATATTATTCATGTAATATTTACTCCTGTAGATTTAGAATGCCGTTGGCAATTAGAGAGATGAGTAGTAGTGTAATTTTCATGGGTAGCTGTTTTAATGTTGTCTTCTGTATTTGTAGTATAAATTTTATTGACAGGTTCAGCATGAAGGAAGTAGACGTTTATACAATAGACTAAGAAATCTTGTCAAGGACAAGCGCAAAGCTTCCATTATATTCCATAATGAATTCCAGAAGTATGCATACTGTGAGAGAGAACAGGAAGAATCACTCACTGAATGGCAGACAAGGTTTGTTTTGTTAGAATTATAGTATCATCAGTTTATTTGTTTGTTAAAGCTGTCATCAGTTTATTTGTTTGTATAGCAAGAATTTTTGTAAAATAATGTACTTGTGAAGTTAACTATCAAAGTTAAGAAGAAGTGTACATGAGCATCTCTGTATTGATGAGTGTTTCTTTTAACAGGAGTACCTATACAGCTGCAGAGTGGTTTTTTCATCACCTTGCTGGACAGAAGCCCATCATTATGGTGACCAATGACAAACAGGTACGTAGAATACAACTTTTTCTTTTTAATATTAGTCTTTCACTTGTTGTCAGTAATGCACACATACAGTGACACTCCTGTAGTTAATGAATGACCTCCTAGATTATATGGCACCTTGAACTGCTTTCTTTAATTCTAATTAGCATATTTGATTTGAAAATTAATTTTAAACACCCAGTTTTTTTCTTATCATTGACATTAATTCAGAAATTTGAAGTTCTAGATAGTTTTAAAAGACACTTCTATGTTTGTCATGTATCTTAATTAGAAGAATAAAAGGAAACCTTTCTTTTACATTGATGATTAATATTTTCATGTAATTGTATGTAGGCCATTGAGACATATGGAAACAAGACACTTAATGTGTTTGTCCTGTCTCTGGAGGAGTATCTGAGAAAATTCTGGCAGGCTCACATACCAGAGGTTATGGAGCTGTACGATTCATTAACAGCATCCTTAGAAACAAAGGTCAAAGGTTAGTCACTGGGAGAAAAATGATTAATTTTATAAAAGTGAGTGGCTGTAAGGGGTACCTATGAGTAGATTTAAGATTATATATTTGTGGATATGAGAGTTTTTGATATAGATGAGAGTACAGACACTGTTATATAGATAAAGTATTATGTCAACGGTGTAACATTAAATACTGCATATTTTAGAGAAAGACTACAGGGGTTATTTACCAGTGGACATTTTAGAAGCCGGTGTAAAGTCAGGAAGATTTGTGCTGGGTCACATCAATGTAAACAAGAACAATGCGGGACAAGAGGCCTTTGTCAAACAGAAGAGGTACTAAAAAATCACAGTGCTGTTCTATTGCAGTAAATGTACATGGATCTTCATTAGAGCTAGTTTAATAGGAGATATTTTGATATTGTATCGGAGTTATTATGCCAGCACTGATACTATCATATACTGTAAACCAACTTTTATTCGCGTGCGAGAAATTTTCGCGAGGTTCGCGAGAGCCCTATCATCGCGAATATTTCTCGCTGCGAACCGGTCTGTAAAGTCTATGTGCCTCATAAAAACTGATCAAAAATAGGCATAATCGCGAAAATTAATCGTCGCGAACTAGTTTATCCCCGGTAAATCGTGAAATAAAGTCGTCGCGAATAAAAGTTGGTTTACAGTAATAGGATACCTATTGTTGACATGCTAGTGCTGGGTATGTATGTATAACTTCTATTCTCAGGTCTTTAGAGACTGACATGCCTGATAAGGAAGATGATAGGGATATACTGATACATGGAATGTCCTGCAGAAACAGAGCTATCCATGGTGACTTAGTTGTCGTGGAGATGTTACCGAGGTCAGAGTGGAGAGGAAGGTCAAATGTCATCAAGGAAAGTCAAGAAGGTAGTATTATGACTCTTAAGTTGATTTCAGAAAATTAAGTCAATACCATTCAACATTATATCATTCATTTTGTAATTTTTCTTGAAAATTAGACAAATGTGTTAGCTTTTGACAAAAACTGATGTCTCCCTCTTTCTCTCAAATATTTCCTTAGGCTATCTGTAGCCTAGGCAATTAACTACCACTTTCTTATTCAATCAAGTGCTTGAGAGTTTTAATCTGGATGCACCTGTAATTATTCTAAAACCATCAGAGTAAGGCATGTTTGCTTACGTTTTTGAAAATGCTTTAATTGATGATTAGTAAGCGATCTTTTTACTTGATTCTCTGGTTTCAGTGGAAGAGGGTGAGGATGACAGTGCCTCTGACTGTAACGTCATGCCGACCGGTCGAGTGGTGGGAATCCAGCAACGGAACTGGAGGGAGTATGTGGCCTCATTCTCTCCTGACGAGGTACTCAAAAAAAATTCCATAAAAGTAGATATTGCATTCTGATGAGGTATTCAGAATGCTTCAATAATAGACCCTTTTCCTATGATATATTTTGCATAGGAGTTATTCCCCTTAGCCGCCATCTTGTAGGGCAAAGTAGTGAATTTACCTCTTTGAGGAACCAATTTTAAACATGCACGCAAGAAATATTTGAGGGAAAATATTTACAATCTTAAATTATGAATTAATAGAGGCTTTAACAAATGTATATTTAAAAGAAAAATAGCGTTGTCTTTACCTCAGTAACCAGTACAATGTATAACAAATTGAACTTGGTTGAATAATGAATTGATCTGGGAATGTTGCCCTACAATAAGGCGGCTAAGGGGAATAACTCTTAGGCAAAATATATCATAGGAAAAGGGTCTATATGCCATTCCGATGTTTGAATTTCTAGCTTTCTGAAATTTTAAATTCTGATGCTTATTTGCATTATGTTTAAAGTAAGTTTTTTGACTTTGATCAATATTTCTTGTTCAGAAAGTAAGTGAAAAAGGAGGGAAAGTGCTAGTCATTCCATGGGACTACCGCATTCCAAAGATCCGCATCAGCACAAAGCAAGTCGAGAAACTGAAGGACCAGAGAATAGTTGTCAGAATTGACTCTTGGGACATCGACTCTCAGTATCCTAATGGACATTTTGTGAAAACTCTTGGACCCATTGGAGATTTGGAGGCAGAGATATCAGCCATCCTCCTGGAGAATACAATACATGCTTCACAATTTTCAGAAGCTCAGGTAATTTTATGTTAATTTTTAGTTGAAAGATTTTTACTGTTACCCCCTATAGTGCACATGACTTCATGATTGTGCCTATGTATTTTTTGGCTTGATTTGATTGGCAGAAGAAAGAGCTCCCTGTGGACACCCCTGAGAACCCCTGGGGTATAGAGGAGGCAGAATTAAGTAAACGCTGTGATTTACGTTCATCTCATTTAATTTTCTCAATTGATCCAAAAGGCTGTGAAGATGTGGATGACACACTCTCTGTTAGGTATGATTTAGAATGAGTATTTATTACTTGTTGTGAATAATTAGCAAACACTGATTTACTTTAAAAAACTTGACAGAGCTTTACTGAAGGGAAATGAATAAAATTTTTAATTTTCACAACTTTTGAATTAGAAACCTAGAGAATGGTAACCTAGAGCTGGGAGTTCACATCGCTGACGTGACCCACTTTGTGAGATCCGGGTCCCTGACAGACACGGAGGCCATGAGTCGGTCCACCACCGTGTACCTGGCGGACCGACGCTACGACATGTTACCAGGAATTCTGAGTGCCAACTTGTGTTCATTAATCAGTGGTGTTGATAGGTAAGCATTGGAGTTAAGGATAATGTGTACATCAGTAGATTTGTTTGCTTCAGTGACTGAGTTTTATAATAACAGGTATGCCATGAGTGTAATGTGGGAGTTGGATAAGAACTTTGAAGTGGTTGATGTTTGGTATGGGAAAACTATCATCCGTTCCAGTTATAAACTATTTTATGAGGTAAGATGGATTTTCTAAGGTAATTTTAAAATAGCATCAAGCTGCATGTATGTTCTAACCTTCTGTATAATACACTGTAAAAATTCTCATTTGGTTTAGCCATGACCACTTGGGACTAAAGTGGGAGGAAAGTTAAAGAGAATTTATTTATTTTTCAGATGGCACAAGCAATCAATGATGGCATAGCCACATCTGAGATAGTAAAAAATGTTCCAGAACTCCAAAATTTGTCTGAAGGAGAGATCAGCAACAGGTAACTTACTCTGGCAGGACTTAGTTATCGCGAAGCATTCACACACAACTCATTTGGGGAAACAGTCCATTCAAAGCACATATAACTCAGGCAGGCAATTGTCTTTATTTGTTACAATATAATTATGCAAAAATCACTAAAAGGTGTACAGATACTGTTATGTCATAGCCATGGATCTGTTCTGCATAAGGTAACGTAATTTGAAAGTAACATCATAATGGACTTTTACGAGAAGCACTGACTTTTACAGTTGACTGTGTACTTGGACATATAAACCTGTATCATCTACGGAAGTACAGAATTGATAATGGATAAGAAAACCTTTCTAAAGGTCATATTAATGGTGTTAGGGGCATTTATATGTGAAGGCCTGGATTTGAGGGTAGGTTGGTTGTCGTTTTCTTCACCGACAAATTATCTGTGCTTTGAAATAGCCCGTTCTTTAGTTAAATTAAATGTTGAGCTAAATATATAAATTTATATCGCAAAAGACCTTCCGTACACTGTCCTTGTGTGAGAGTAATTCGTCAATTGTAAAAGTCAGGGGAGTAATTCGTCAATTGTAAAAGTCAGGGTTTTCTTAAAAGTCCAATAGCCTTACTGAATAGTCTTACTGCAGAAATAAAACTTTAATTCTCATAAGTTTACTTCGCCTTAGCTGTCGTGTGGATGCAATTTAATTCGCATTAGATAAATTTGCATTATTTTACTTCACATTAATTTACTGCAAATTAAATTCTCCATGTGAACAGGGCATTAGATTATTCCAATGTTTATTTAAAGTTTCAAAAATACATATAACAACATTATAATCTGTGAGGTCACAATATTACATATGACATTCTGGTCTGTAGGATGATGATATTTTTAAAATATTACCTTTTGTTATATTCCACTGTGTATGTAGAATTACAGTATTAAAAATTACAACATTACATTCTGTAGACTTTCACTATTACATATTACAATATTACATCCTTTAGGGTTGAAGAGCTGAGATCTGCTGTGTCATTATTAATGAAAGTAGCTAGGCACCTCAAGGCAAGGAGAGTGTGTGGAGGAGCTCTAGAACTGACCAGTGTGGAGGTCCAAGTAGAGCTGACTGAGACAAAGAGTATCGAGAACCTCACTCCTAAAGATGTAAGTCAACAAGTTACACCTCACCACAGAATAGAACCTCACTCCTAAAGATGTAAGTCAAAAAATAACTAAAGATCACCTTATCATAGAACCTCAGGCCTAAAGATGTAAGTCACAAAGTTACACCTCACCATAGAATAGAGCCTCACTCCTAAAGATGTAGGTAACAAAGTCACACCTCACCATAAAATAGAACCTCACTCCTAAAGATGTAAGATTACAAGTTATATAGATCCTCACTCCTAAAGATGTAAGATAACAAGTTACATAGAACCTCATTACAAGTTACATAGAACCTCACTCCCAAAGATGTAAGATAACAAGTTATATAGATCCTCACTCTTAAAGATTTAAGATAACAAGTTACATCGAACCTCACTCCTAAAGATGTAAGTCAATAAGTTACACATCATTATATAAAAGAACCTCACTCCTAAAAGTTAAAGTCAGTCAATTACACCTATTAATCATAAAAAAATATTTGATAATGTATCATGGTTTCCTTGACCTAGGACTTGCCATTAGATATCAAAGTGAAGAAATTCCTTGTATAAAAATTTTCCTTGGCCAATTGGGAACTTTTCTTGATCATATAGATCAAGTCACTTCTATATGGAATAACTATTCTGTAATATATATGTTAATGAATATAATCACACCTTATGAAGCACATGTATGTATTGCTTTAAACTTGCAAAAGATTCCCTGATTCTAGCTGAATATATTAGAACCAGGTTAGAATGTATGCAGTTCAGACATTTGATTTGTTTAATTTTAGCACCTTGAAGTCCATGACACCATAGCAGAGTGTATGATTTTTGCAAACCACTGGGTGGCTAAGAAGATAGTAGAATCATTCCCAAATCAAGCCTTGGTATGCCTTTATCATTACTGTATGTTTATTAACAAAGAGTTTGTTTAATGAATCATATGATTTCTGTAAAATTTGTACTTATTTTTGAGGTGAATAATTTTCCTCATTTATATCAGAATGTGATTATAAGTGGAATACCTAGGACTTATAATTCTGAAATCTAGGTAAACAGTTATGGAGTCATTCAAAATATCTTGAAATTGTTTTTTGATGCTCTTAAGCAAAAATAAATGAGGCAAAATATTTTGTAAAATAAATACATGTTGCTGTTTTTTCAGTTAAGACACCATCCCTTACCTAAGAGTGAGCAATTTGAAAATCTGAAAAACTGTGCCAAATCCAAAGGTTTAGAAGTGAAAACCACATCAAACAAAGAGCTGGCAGAGACACTAGATAATTGTGTGGATCCAGGGGACCCTATTGTCAATAGGGTTAGTAGCACTTTCCTGTAAAGCTAAGAGCACAGGATGAAAATCCACCATTCAGTCGACTGAATGGTGGCTGAATGACCACTGAATGGTCACTGAAAGGTCACTGAAAAGACCCTTTCCCGTGACCTGTCCGTGATCATTCAGGTACCATTCAGTCGACTGAATGGCACATACATTTCAGTGACCTTTCCGTGATCATTCAGTTGAATCTTTTTATTGAATAATCGGCTTATTTTTTTTTACCTAAAAATTTTATTTCACTTTTTTCTGGTATAATAGAATTAAATGTATCTAATTCCGAATAAAAAAAATAGGAAAAAAAATTAATACAAGAAAAAAAATTGGTCCCATGCCCAGAATCGAACCCTGGTCTCCTGGTTAGGTGTCCGTGACAATATCAATTACTCTACGACTTCTTGTTAAGAAATGAAGATTTAAAATCAATTAATTTATAGAAATCGATGGAACAATCAGTTCACCTGTTGAATCGAGGAGCTGGGATGTGTATATTTCTTGTATATCTTTTGTATATTCTATGTTAGTTGCGCGGATCTTTGGGACAGACTAATTAATTACACATCTCCTATCGGGATGATGACAATTATCAGAGACGGGCACCTGTTCCTTTGTCAAAGATTTAAGATCGTTGTAAATTCTCTATCTAGAAACTTAGTCGAATAATTTTATTAAAGCAATATCATTTAGAAAGCTAAAATCTCCTATATATTTTTTTTCTACAAGAGGCATGTATAAACGATTTATTTATTCTTGTAATAAAGAATGAATTTAAAATAATGTCTTTCAAAAACTAAATATCCTGCAGTTTTGACAATGACATAATTAAGAACCGAAATTGATCAGTAATACTTGCGATCTTCCAAAAATGGTTTAAATAATATAAATTCTGTCTCATCAATCAAAACTATATATTTCCATGAAAAAATACACGTATAAGCACTATAGAATGTTATGCATTTATTAAAATTTTGAATCGGTTATTGGATCATCATTTTTTATCACTTGAAGAATTTTTGTTTTCTAAATGTAACTAGAAAATTAAAAATCATTTTGAATAAGTCTCGCATATTTTATTTTGGGCAGGGCCGTAGCAACAGGGGGGGGGGGCTGGCCCGAACTTTTTGTCCCAACCTTAATTATACTATAGGAAATGTTAATTGAAAGCCTGGTTCCCCCCCCCCCCCACTTCAGTGATGTACTGAAAATGTAGTACTCTAAAAGTAGTTGACACTGAAAAAAAGCTTTACCCCCCCCCCCCCCCCCCCCCCCCCACACGAAATAGGATTTTGGACTTTGGGCGACTTTTTTTCCTTTTTTTCCTTTTTTTTTTTTTATTGCTTGTCCACTTTTTCAGGTAAGTATTTTTTTTTCTCTGGCTGCCCCCCCCCCCCACTTTCAAAATCGATGCTACGCCACTGTTGGGGACAGACTAATTAATTACACATCTCCTATCGGGATGATGACAATTATCAGAGACGGGTACCTGTGCATGTGTCAAAGATTTAAGATCGTTGTAAATTCACTATCTAGAAACTTAGTAGAATGATTTTATTAATGCAATATCATTTAGAAAGCTAAAATCTCCTATATATTTTTTTTCTACAAGAGGCATGTATAAACGATTTATTTATTCTTGTAATTAAAAATAATAATTACTTAGACATATTTTAAGGTACCCAAATTTGATCACGATAAGTGAAAAAAAAAACACAAGTAAGATTGAATAATAAATCTTTATTCAGAATATTGTTTCCTTGTTAAGGAAAAATATCTGATTATAAAATAATACGCTAGTGAAAAAAAATGCTAAATTGAGACTTAAATATCACTGAAAGGTGGCGGAAAGGTCACTGAAAGATGACAGAAAGGTCACTGAAAGTCGATGGAGTGGTCACTGAAAGACGACAGAAAGGTAACTGAAAGTCGACGGAAAGGTCACTGAAAGACGACGGAAAGGTCACTGAAAGTTGATGGAAAGGTCACTGAAAGTTGATGGAAAGGCCACTGAAAGTTGACGGAAATGTGTCCACTGAATGGTGACTGAAAGGTATCTGAAATGTGACTGAAAGGCAACTGAAAGGTCACTGAAATGTATGTGCCATTCAGTGGCTGAATGGCCACTGAAAAGTTACTGCAAGCCGCCTTTCAGTTTTAACTGAAAGGTCTTGTTTCTTCCTGTGGAGATTCTCACTTTTAGACTATCAAGTCCTTAACCAAAAGAGTTTATGCAAATTCCTAAGTGATTGTTTGATTTTGTGTAAAAAATTATCCTGTATAATTTTTGTCTTAATTAATATTAAATAAAACTCAACTATGATTTTTATGAAATTAAAAAAAATCTGTGCATTGGAGAAGCATGTTTTTCTGTAAATATGGTTATTGTTTTTCCTTTCACAATTCTAAATAATATTACCAATTTTGAATTTGCCCAGACACAAATATGTTTAAGAGATAATGCTGTATTTGAACTTTTTCCCATTTTTAATTCCTTTTATGGTAATGAGGGTTGAAAGAGGGTAAAAATAAAAGAGAGACAATTTTTTTTCTATACAGTACAGTGCTTTTTAGCTCTTCTGAGCCAAAGGCTCTAAGAGCTAATGCTATGGCCATTTGTGCGGTGTGCGTCGTGCGGTGTGCGGTGTGCATTAACTTTTTAGCTCACCTGAGCCGAAGGCTCAAGTGAGCTTTTCTGATCAAAATTTGTCCGTCGTCTGTCGTTGTCGTTGTCGTTGGCGTTGTTGTCGTTGTCGTAAACTTTTCACATTTTCATCTTCTTCTCAAGAACCACTGGGCCAATTTCAACCAAACTTGGCACAAAGTATCCCTGGGTGAAGGGTATTCAAGATTGTTCAAATGAAGGGCCACGCCCTCTTCCAAGGGGAGATAATTATGAATTAGAGAAAAATTAATAGCATTTTTAAAAAATCTTCTTCTCAAGAACCACTGGGCCAGGAAAGATGAAACTCATGTGGAATCATCCTCAGCTAGTGTAGATTCAAGGTTGTTCAAATCTTGACCCCCGGGGCTAGGGTGGGGCCAAAATGGTCGACCAAAGATTTACATAGGAATATATAGGAAAATTCTTTAAAAATCTTCTTCTTAAGAACCACTGGGCCAGGAAAGATGAAACTCATGTGGAATCATCCTCAGGTAGTGTAGATTCAAGTTTGTTCAAATCATGACCCCCGGGGCTAGGGTGGGGCCAAAATGGCCGACCAAAGTTTTACATAGGAATATATAGGAAAAATCTTTAAAAATCTTCTTCTTAAGAACCACTGGGCTAGGAAAAATGAAACTCATGAAGAATCATCCTCAGGTAGTCTAGATTCAAGTTTGTTCAAATCATGACCCCTGGGGCTAGGGTGGGGCCAAAATGGCCGACCAAAGTTTTACATGGGAATATATAGGAAAAATCTTTTAAAAATCTTCTTCTCAAGAACCACTCGAATTGGAAAAATGAAACTCATGTGGAATCATCCTCAGGTAGTGTAGATTCAAGTTTGTTCAAATCATGACCCCCGGGGCTAGGGTGGGGCCAAAATGGCCAACCAAAGTTTTACATAGGAATATATAAGAAAAATCTTTTAAAAATCTTCTTCTTAAGAATCATTGAGAAAGGAAATATGAAAATAAATGAAATTATCCTCAGGTAGTGTAGATTAAAGTTTGTTCAAATCATGACCCCTGGGGCTAGGGTGGGGCCAAAATGGCTGACCAAAGTTTTACATAGGAATATATAGAAAAATTTTTTAAAAATCTTCTTCTCAAGAGTCACTATGCCAGGAAAAATGAAACTCATGTGGAATCATCCTCAGGTAGTGTAGATTCAAGTTTGGTCAAATCATGACCCCCGGGGCTAGGGTGGGGCCAAAATGGCCAACCAAAGTTTTACATAGGAATATATAAGAAAAATCTTTTAAAAATCTTCTTCTTAAGAATCATTGAGAAAGGAAATATGAAACTTAAATGAAATTATCCTCAGGTAGTGTAGATTCAAGTTTGTTCAAATCATGAACCATGGGGCTAGGGTGGGGCCAAAATGGCTGACCAAAGTTTTACATAGGAATGTATAGAAAATTTTTTTTAAAAATCTTCTTCTCAAGAACCTTTGGGCCAGGAAAGACGAAACTTATGTGGAATCATCCTCAGTTAGTGAAGATTCAAGCTTGTTCAAATCATGACCTCTGGGGCTAGTTTTGGGCCCAAAATGGCTGACCAAAGTTGTAAGGATATATAGGGAAACCTTTCAAAATCTTCTTTTCAAGTACTTCAAAGCCATGATTAGTGATATTTTTCTATTTATATGGAATCATCCTCAGGTAGTGTAGATTGTACATTGTTCAAATCATGACACCCAGGAGGGTTAAAATTCAAGCCCCCCCCCCCCCCCCCCCCCAGTAAACTTTCAGTTTTGATCTGATATGTGCTTTTTCCTAGTAGATGTGCTCAGGTGAGCGATGTGGCCCTTGGGCCTCTTGTTAGAATATGGGCCATAACTCAAGAACCCCTTGGCCAATCATTGTCAAATTTGTCACAGGGTATCCTTGGCCCAAGGGCTACCATTTATACTAAAACTAGGGGTGGGACCCTAAAACAAGGGGAGATAATCAGGAAAATAAAACCAAAAGCACTGGTTGCTAAAAAATCTTCTTCTCCAGAACCACTAGGCAGATTTTCACCAAACTTACATACAAGGGTCAGGATATGTTGAAGATTAAAAATTGTTCAAGGCATGACCCTGGGGCAAAGGGCGTGGTCTCAAGGTCACTTCAAAGTTGACCAAAATTTACACTTAATAAAAATGTTGATATTTTGCTTACTATAAAGACTAGGATCATCAAATCTTATAAGTTGATGCATCTCAGGACTTCACATCATGTTAACACAAAAGTAGGTCATGGTGACCTACTTTTTGAATTTTACGGGCTTTTGTTTTCAAATTGATTTGGAGGTATATTTTGGACACTTTAAGGCCTATGATCATAAAACTTTTTCAGTTGGTGCATTTTGGGTCCTCAAACAACATCAACTTAAAAGTAGGTCATCGTGACCTATTTTTTGAATTTTATGGCTAATCTTTTCTAAAACATTTAATCCCATTATTTCTGATACTGAAAGGTTTAGAATCACCAAATCTTGTAAGTTGATGCATCTTGGGGCCTTAAAGGGGGAGGAAATAAGCACCTCCTTCAAATTTACCTGGTCTTAGAACCCCTGTCAATCATCTGAAATTAAGCCTGGGATTGGATACTTTGATTTGATTGACATCTAGTTTGCTGCTGTTGTGTATATCTTGTGTACCTTTTCTGGAGATCGTACCGACCATCGAATTAACATTCAGGCTTTTGATGCCTACCGCACATGCCAACGTGATAAAGAAGCAATCATAGCGTTTCTTTTTTAATTCAAAAGAACATTCCATAAATATAAACAATCTGTCAAATAATTAAATAAATGACAAGAGAAATCATGGCTATATAATATATATTATAAATTTGATTTTAAAAGGGAGGATTTCATATCACGATTACAATCGATAATTTTAATTTCCGTGTCAAAACATGAGTTAGCGTACATTTATTCCTCCATTAATTAACAAAATAAACAGACCTGCGTTTGAAGCTAGTATCATGGAATTAAATAAAATTATTTTTTAAAACAAATATGACAACATTGTAACGTTGTTCATGATTCAAGCGAATTTATATTTATAAGACAAACCTGTACATGTACCTGTCGCTTTTCTTCGAGACATGGTGACGAAGTTACGGTATAATAATAAGTTTTAGAAGAGAAATTACTCGGAATATAACATCTTGCTTTGTATTTAATGTTTGAAATTAATAATGAATCCCGAAAGAAAAAAAAACGATGCAGATGATTCCATTCCGCTTGAGCTGTCGGTGAATCAACCCCGATCTGATACCCTGGCCATTTTTATGCGTTATGGAAAAATCAAGTAGGGTTTATCTTAAAAAGATATTTATTTAGACAATATTTCTACTTCAACACTTAATTCTCAAAACATCGTTTCTAAGTTTCATTGTTATTTACCGAGAGACTGTTTCATGATTCACTTTCTTCTTTCGTTTTGTGTAGACGACATGTAATTTGAATTACTTCCCTTTTTGTCGCCAGATTACAACGACAGATTTTGGTGCTAAATGTATTTTCGTTATAACACTACATTAAGAAACACACTGTATATAAAATATGTCGAATTATTAAAAATATCAATTATTTTAAAAGAAAGAAATTGAGAAGGATTCTGTCTGCAACAAAAAATGCTTTATTTCGCATTTCAATTCATGGGCTAAACATGAAAAAAAAAAAACGGCCTCGGTTTACAAAGTCATGGGAAAACGCATACAGGTAATACACTCAGGTAACATCCTGTGTATATAGGTAGTATACACAAGCCAGCGTCGTTCCCTCAGGGCTTCTCAGCCGCTTCGATTAAGCTCCACCCCACACCAAACTTACCTGAGGAAAACCGTACGGTTGAAAACCTCGGCCTTTAAAACATATTTATTAAAAAGTAGGTCACTGTGACCTACTTTTTGAACTTTGCAGGCATTTGTTTTCAAATTGTTTAAAAGGCATATTTTGAATACTATTAGACCTATGATCATCAAATTTTGTCAGTTGATGCATCTTTGGTCTTTAGAAAATGACGACCAAAAAGTAGGTCACGATGACCTACTTTTCAAATTTTATGGCTAGATTTAAGTATTTCGGGTACTTATTGGCCTAGAATCATCAAACTTTGTCAGTTGATGCGTCTCGGGTTCTCAGAGATCATAGACCAAAAGGTAGGTCACAGTGACCTACTTTTGACATTTTATGGCTATATTTAAGTATCTCAGGTACTTATTGGCTTAGAATCATCAAACTTTGTCGTTTGATGCATCTTTGGTTTTCGAAACATGTCGACCAAAAAGTAGGTCACAGTGACCTATTTTTGACATTTTATGGCTATATTTAGGTATCTCAGGTACTTATTGGCTTAGAATCATCAAACTTTGTCATTTGATGCATCTTTTGTTTTCGAAACATGTCGACCAAAAAGAAGGTTATGGTGACCTACTTTTGAATATCTCAGGTACTGATTGACTTAGAATCATCAAATTTTGTCAGTAGATGCATCCTGGGTTTTTGGAGAATGTCGACCAAAAAGTAGGTCACAGTGACCTACTTTTGACATTTTGTTGCTAAATTTAGGTATCTCGGGTACTTATTCGTTTAGAATCATCAAACTTTGTCTATTGAAGCATCTTGGGTTTTCCGAGAATGATGATGAAAAAATAGGTGATGGTGACCTACTTTTGACATTTTATGGCTATATTTAAGTATTCAAGGTACTTATTGGCTTAGAATTGTCAAACTTTGTCAGTTGATTCACCTTGGGTTTTCGGAGAATGTTGACCAATAAGTAGGTCACTGTGACCCACTTTTGAATATCTAAAGTACTTACTGGCTTAGAATCATCAATCTTTTTCAATTAATGCATCTTGTGTCCTCAGAAAATTTCAATCAAAAAGTAGGTCACCATGACCTACTTATAGTATTTTATAGTTACATTTAAATATCTTCAGTCCTAACTGGCTAAGAATCATCAAACTTTGTCAGTTGATGCATCTTGGGTCTTAGGATAGATTGTATAATTTATCAGAAGAGCGATTCAAGGCCCTTGGGCCTCTTGTTTTTTATAAATCTTTTCTATATTGAATTTTACCTTTGTTTAAGAAAAATAATTAAAATCTTTCCTATAATTTTAATTGTAGAAATTTTAATATTTTTTAAAAAGAGCTTTGATCTGTTATATGATTGTTTACATGTGACTTTTTCTGTAGATTCTCAGAATGCTGGCTACTCAGGCCATGTCTGTAGCTTCCTACTTCTCCACTGGTTCCCTGCCCCGGGACCAGTTTTTCCACTATGGTTTGGCCTTGGATTACTACACACACTTTACTTCACCCATCAGAAGATATGCTGATGTGCTGGTAAGTTTTATAAAGGGTGTCAAGAAAGTTCATTCCTCACTTTCCTTTAATTCACAAAGATGATTACAATGAAAAGATTTTTTGAATTTGTGATATTTCATGACAAGGTTTTCATTGCATACTTTATCAAATTAAAGGAAGAGGCATTTATTAATGTATGCATACTTAACTTAGTGGTTAATAGTGACCTAACAACAAACTTTAAAATAACCATGATGACTCCATTTTTATTGTCAACTTCCCTTACTTATGTAGTAAGATACCCATGTCACCTGCTATATTTCTCAGTTGATTCAATAACCAAGAGCATGCTCTACATACAAACAATTTCTAAAACAAGGCAAGCTTTTGACAAACAAGTTGATGAAACAAAGATATCAACAGTGTACGTAAAGTTTTGGAACCTCCAAGGTCCATACATTGACCTTATAAACAAATACAATCTAGCATCAAGTTGAATGCTGGCTGATGTTTTTATGCTAATTGTTAAGCCATTATTTACACACTGAATTGTCTATGGACAATCACAACAAGGAGAACATGATGTGTGCGACCATTCAGCAGGGGATGTTTACTCATCCTTGGCACTTAATTCCACCTGTGATGTTTTAAGAGGGTTAGGATTAAACATTAATCTCATATTTCTTCAAGCTTTAGAAAATCGAATGAATCTTAAAATATGTCTGATATTGTCTATATTGTTTTAATTTAAACAACAGGTTCACAGACAATTAATGGCCGCCGTATCAGGGGAGGACACAGATATGTTGCCTGGCAACCAGGAATTGGATGAGCTTTCTGAGCACATCAATCATCAGCACAGGGTAATGACGGATAGATCAAAAGCTAGGACTCAGGTGTTAAGATTGTCTGCCAGAGTACTCACCTCTACATGTAACAGCTCAACTCACAAATACCCATATTTGTTTGGGAATTTTTTTTACCCATATTCATGTTTTAAGTCCACAAAACCATTTACTCTTAGATGCTTTATATATTTTGCTTTTTCATCCAAGCAACTATGAATTTTTTTTCTCGGGGATAAAGGTTAAATGTACAGTAAAACACGGTTATAGCGAAGTCCTGGGGACCTGTGAATTTAATTCGCTATATCTGTAATTCGTTATATCCGTATAACGAATTCGTATAACCATATATAGCGAATTCGCAATATGCATGTTTTCCTTCAAGTGTTACTATCAAATATGTTAGGGAAGCAAATATTACAAAACATGCCTTCGATAACTAAGGTTTTATTATGAATTGAATTTTATATACAAATGCTGAGAGAAAATAAAGTCAGTTCAATTAAACAAATTTTGAAATCTTTGAAAGTTCGTTATAAAAGATGTAAATTTCATTATATTTAACCTCAACGGGACTCAAAATCAGTTCGCTATATCCGTAAATTCGTTATATCAGAGTTCATTATAACCGTAAAATTTTACAAAGATTTGTTAAGAATTTTGCCGGGGACCCAGAAAAACTTCGTTATATCCGTGAATTCGCTATATCCGTGTTCGTACTAAACCTGTAACCTGTAATCTGTATTAAGATGAGAGGAATACCTGGATTCTGATTTACTTTCAGGCAGCCCAGAATGCCCAGAGAGATTCCCAGGAACTGTTCCAGTATTTGTATTTCAAACAGAAACATTCCGAAGATGAGTGCTGTTTGGCTGATGCTATCATATTTCAGCTCAGGGCCAATGGTCTCATGGTCTTTGTTCCAAGGTAATCTTACCTAGTGATGATAAAGTTTTACAGGAAGTTTTAACCATGGATGTTATGCTTATATGATTAACCTGTCTCAATCTGTTGCATTGTAGATATGGTATAAAAGGACCCGTGTACTTGCGTAACAAAGAAGGGCAGGTTATATTTGTATCAGGCTCTGGTCAGTCAGAGTGGACAAGTGGCAGCATAACTAAGTCTGACCGGAGTATCTGTGTTAACAGTGAGCTGGGTTCTCAATCATTCTGTTTACTGGATCATATAACAGTAAGTCTGACTGAAGTGTTCTCAGGGGGTTGGGTACTCAGTCATATTTTTATAGGAGTTTCAGTGTTGTATTTAGTTCAAAGGTCAGAAATCAAAGGAAAGGGGCAACATCATCATTATGATGACTTTTCATGTAGAGGAAATTAAAAAAAAAAAACCACAAAGGCAAAAATAGCAAAGTGCAAATATAATACTGTATACAGCATCATAATGGTCCAACCTTGTATAAACGATAAGTTTTGAAACCCCAGTTAAATTAATTTATTACATATGTAATACTGTAGGTAAGAGTAACACCACAGAGTTCCAGGTCCCATGCCTCTTCTCTGAAACTTGAACTGATGTCAACAGAAGGATACGCCTTAGATCAAGAACTCTCAGCAACGGAAAAGTCAGCAAAGAGCCAGAAACAGGCCATAATAAAGGTAAGCCTCTCAAAATCAGGCTATAATACAGGTAAGCCTCTCAAAATCAGGCTGTAATACAGGTAAGCCTCTCAGAATCAGGCTGTAATACAGGTAAGCCTCTCAAAATCAGGCTGTAATACAGGTAAGCCTCTCAAAATCAGGCTGTAATACAGGTAAGCCACTCAAAATCAGGCTGTAATACAGGTAAGCCACTCAAAATCAGGCTGTAATACAGGTAAGCCGCTCAAAATCAGGCTGTAATACAGGTAAGCCGCTCAAAATCAGGCTGTAATACAGGTAAGCCTCTCAAAATCAGGCTGTAATACAGGTAAGCCACTCAAAATCAGGCTGTAATACAGGTAAGCCGCTCAAAATCAGGCTGTAATACAGGTAAGCCGCTCAAAATCAGGCTGTAATACAGGTAAGCCTCTCAAAATCAGGCTGTAATACAGGTAAGCCACTCAAAATCAGGCTGTAATACAGGTAAGCCTCTCAAAATCAGGCTGTAATACAGGTAAGCCTCTCAAAATCAGGCTGTAATACAGGTAAGCCTCTCAAAATCATGTCATCATACAGTTAAACTTCTCAAAAACAGATTATGTATGATACATAATATGGCATTGTGTTTAATACTGATCATTATTCTGGAATAAGCATACATCTGTTTCTTTGCAAAAAAAAAGTATATATTGATATTGCTATAAGAAACTATCTTGGGAGTGAAGTTGTTGTTTGATACATGATGTAGCAATGCGTTACTGATTTTCAGGAGGTGATGGCGGTAGCTGAAGAGAAGCGAAGTCAGACCACCACAGAGGACCAGAGCGCGAGATATCAGGCACTGAAGGCCGAATTCGGTCAGACTCCCGACAATAAAAGCTTGTACTTAGTGTTTGAAAAATTCAGTGAACTAGCTAAAAAGCCACTCAGTTAGCACAGAGAAACACTTAATTCAAATGTATCATCAATTTTATATGAATTTTCTAAAAATTCATGGGTAATGTCATGCTATAGAAAAAAGTAGTCTGTCAATTGATTATCAGACTTCAGAAAGTTTTTCTATTGTATACTTTATATTGTACTCTCCAAGGTAATTTTGACATTAAAATGGCAATGTTTTACCTAAGATAAATGATAGAGTACATGTGTCATTCTATTATATGTGAGAAATTATTAGCCTACCTTTGGCTTTTACAGACATCTGTGTAATATTCTCTTATCAGTAACAGGCATATACAGTAAAACTCGGTTATAACGAAGTCACTGGGACCTATGAAATTACTTTGTTATATCCGTAATTCGTTATATCCGTACAAGAAATTCGTTAAATTTATATAGCTGGGGATCCAAGATAACTTCGCTATAACCGTAAATTCGCAATATCCGTGTTCGTACTAACGGAGTTTTGCTGTACATGTATTGTAAAGTATCCATTAATTATCATTAATTATGTAAATGTCATCAATGAACTGATGGAGTACTGAGTACATGTACATGTATTTGTGAGAAGGCAGCTGCCATATTAACCTGTTTGAATCATGGCCTTTATTTTTTTTGTACAATAAAAACATTTTTGAAAAATGTGTGTTTGACAAATATAAATTCTTCAAGAGTGGTTGTTCCTTATGTAAGACATGAAGTTGCTATAACAATATAAAATAATGAGTAACTGTCAAAGTGGATAGTCTTACATACTGTATTATATTTTATGGAAAGGCAGTTTCTCTAAAAGTAAGCAAAACCATGCAGCATGGTAGTGAGAATCCCTAATACAGTGGAGCCTTATTCATCTGGACTCTTTGGTTCCTAGTCAATTTGTCCGGATATGTGAAGTGCCCGGATACCTGAATTACCATTTAAACAAGACAAATAACTTTAAAAAATTCTGTTCTGATCAAAAATCATCTGAATACTGAAGTGTCCAGATATCTGGCATCCGGATATCTGAAGGTCCACTGTATTCCATTTTAGAAAGTTCAGGCTTTTTAGGTTTTGTAGAAAATTACCAGGGTATATGTAACAAGAGGCCCATCGGCCACATTGCTCACCTGAGCATTGTGGCTATGAAAAAGTAAAAATTGGTTTATTATTGAAAAGTTTAAATCCAAAAGTAGTCCAGTGACCTACTTTTCTTGAGAAGATGATTTTTAAAGAATTTTCTTATATATTTCTACGTAAAATGTTGGTCAGCCATTGTGGCCCCGCCCTACCCAGGGAAGTCATGATTTGAACTTGAATCTACAGTACCTGAGGATGCTTCCATATAAATATGATCAATTATGCTTGTGCTATTCTTGAGAAGAAGATTTTTAAAGAATTTTTCCTATATATTTCTATGTAAAACTTTGGTCAGCCATTGTGGCCCTACCCTACCCCCGTGGGTCATGATTTGAACAAACTTGAATCTACACTATCTGAGGATGCTTCCATATAAATATGATCAGTTATAGCTTTCCTATTCTTGAGAAGAAGATTTTTAAAGAATTTTCCTATATATATTTCTATGTAAAATTTTGGTTAGCCATTGTGGCCCCACCCTACCCCCCGGGGGTCATGATTTGAACAAACTTGAATCTACACCACCTTAGGATGCTTCCATATACATGTAAATATTATCAGTTATGGCTTTGTTATTCTTGAGAAAAAGATTTTTATAGAATTTTCCTATATATTTCTATGTAAAATTTTGGTCAGCCATTGTGGCCCCGTCCTACCCCTGGGGGTCATGATTTGAACAAACTTGAATCTACACTACCTGAGGATGCTTCCATGTAACTATGATCAATTATGGCTTTGTTATTCTTAAAAAAAAGATTTTTAAAGAATTTTCCTACATATTTCTATGTAAAATTTTGTTCGGCCATTGTGGCCCCAACTTACACTGGGGTCATGATTTGAACAAACTTGAATCTATACTACCTGAGGATGATTCCATATAAATATGATCAATTATGGCTTTGTTATTCTTGAGAAGAAGATTTTTAAAGAATTTTCCTATATATTTCTATGTAAAATTTTGGTCGGCCATTGTGGCCCCACCCTACCCCCAGGGGTCATGATTTGAACAAACTTTATTTTACACTACCTGAGGATGTTACCCCATAAATATCATCTCTCCTGGCACAGTGGTTCTTGAGAAGAAAATTTTTTAAACATGCCACCAAATTTTCACTAATTCCCAATTATCTCCCCTTGAATGAGGGCGTGGCCCTTCATTTGTATAAACTTGAATCTCCTTTACCCAGAGATGCTTTGTGGCAAGTTTGGTTGAAATTGACCCAGTGGTTCTTGAGAAGAAGTAGAAAATGTGAAAAGTATAGACAGACAGATGACAGCTAGACAGACTGACGCCGGACAAAATGTGATCAGAAAAGCTCACTTGAGCCTTCCGCTCAGGTGAGCTAAAAATGGATCTGCTTCCAAAATATGACCTGTTCAATCCTTCAGGATTGAAGGAATCTGAAGCAAGTCTCATTCGGCATCAATTGTTTAAATATGAAATCTGGAATATCTTCTAATACAAGATGCAACATTCATGTAAATTTAGCCAACATTCATCATACATCCTTATCAGATACATTGTAAGTTTTAAAACAAAGGTCTAAAAACTTGGGAATAGACCTGTGCCAAAAACTTTAACCTGGTCATTCATTTGAAAAATATGAATTAGGTCAAGTCCATACAGCATCCAAAGCATGTCTTTAGTATGCATCCTTAGAAACATTATCCATGAATGCAAGTTTAGTGACTACAGGGCTTTAAGTTGCTTTGGAATGAAACTGCACAAAAAAAATTTAACCTGGTCACTCATTTGGAAAATATAGGTCAGGACTATTTCTCAGAAACAACTCTGGTTGTTTGTAACCCCCAGCATCATCTATGCAAGTTTGGTGCAGGTAGGTCTTATAGTTACTTGAGTATGGACTTGATTCTGTACCGAGGTAATCTGAACTTCAACAGGGACTAAAGGTTTAGCTATAAAATGAAGGGCCCGTAAATCAAGGATACTCTGTGAAAATAATTGGCCAAGCATTCTTCAGATAGGGCCCATACTCCAAAATATTGATGCCCTTTTCGCATAGGTTCCTGTGCCTGTTGCTCGGAAGAGCTCAAAGAAAACTCAGAGGTGTACAATAAATGTCTGTACAACATTTGTAATATGCTGGGAATTATCCTAATTTATTTGACTCGCTATTTTGATTGATTGATTGTATATTGTTTAACGTCCCTCTCGAGAATTTTTCACTCATATGGAGACATCACAGTATGCCGGTGAAGGGCTTCGAATTTTTACCTTTACTCGGCACTCAGGGCCATTGAGCAGTGAGGGATCTTTATCGTGCCAATGCCTGCCGCTGACACGGGGCCTCGGTTTTTAAGGTCTCATCCGCAACTTTCACTTCAAAGTGCCGAGCGCATGGCGAAGGAACAGTTGCCACCAATTTTATTGACTAGGTCAGTCGCGGCCGAGATATGAACTCACGACCTCCCGATCACGGAGCGAGCGCTCTACCGACTAAGCTACCGTGAACGGTAACTCGCTATTTTGAAACCATTTCGTTCAATTCAATATTACTTTCAACTTGTTTGCTCTTTCCATCTACCATAAATATTTCCTCATAAATTGTATCTCCTTGTTGTACATGTATCTTATTTTATTTTTTTTCTCAATCAATAAAAGAGACTGACATATCTCTTTTTTTTATTATTGACCCAAAATATACAACTATACACCAGCAAAAATATTAAAATAATAAAATAATGTCCTATTCATCTTTTAATTAAATAGTATTTAAATCTGAACATTTATTAGAACTTTTGATCCTACCGTAAATCTGGAAATTTTTGCGTCGATTTTATTTTGCGAATCTGGGTCAAAATGCTGTTGATTAATTTTTTCGTTTCAAAATTTTGCGAATGACCACAGGTTTGTTTACATTTTCTTTATTGTTGAATTATTTTTACAAAAAATATTTCTGCGAATGCAATGAACTCGCAAATTAGCTAAAAATTTATCTACAGCAAACATTTCCAGATTTACGGTATTACAATTGTATCTATTAAACTGTTGCTTGTATGCTCCATTGTAGACAGGTTTTTTTTTACTACAGTTTAGAATTTCAAAATGATTTTGCTCGGAAATAAAAAATTCAATGTGAAATCAGAGCTGTGCCTCTATCTGAAATTGATCACAAATTAAGAGAGATCAAAGTAGTTTAATCATACTTGCCAACCTCCAGCATGTAAAAATCTGGTCATGACCAGATTTGGAAAGTAAAAAATCTGGTCATAACGCGTAACGACATTCACGACATATTTACCATGATTAAATTTTATAATACATGTATACAAAGTATTTGTGTATTGAGAATTCTTTTATTGAAAAAGGATTTAATTTACTATGACAAAAAAATTCATACATAATTTGCTTTAATTTACATGTTAAAGGTGAAAATTGAAGGTTTCATATTTCAGATTTGACCTGAAGTAAATGTACATTTTTTTTAAAAGGCCTTTTCAGTTTCTGCTAAATTTGAAAGCATACCAATTTCAGTTTTGAAGTTGTTTTTCCTCTCTCTTAATTAATTAATTACTGCAACATGTTTTAAATTTGAAGTTAGGCCTACATTGTCTTTGATCACTTTATTTTATCTAGAATGAAAGTTTTTTCCCCAAAATTCCTTGATATGTACATAAATATCGTTTCTCTTTTTCTTGGTTCAATCAGAGACATGTGTTTGGTTCAGTTTGTTCCTGTTGGCCCTGATAACGATCTAGTTCTATGGGAAGCCATTTTAATTAACTTCAAACATTGATTTGTCAAAACAACACCCAGTTAATTGTTTACACCTGCACAGATAATTAATCCATCGGCATTGTTTACGTAGATCTAAGCTTGGGTTGTAACTGGAAGTTAAAAGTTAATTTCGAACCAAATCAAAAATCGGGTGATAAGCATGACCCGCCGGGTCATAAAAAAATAATCGGGTTATGGGTTGAAAAATCGGGTGTGACCCGACGAAATCGGGTGAGTTGGCAACTATGAGTTTAATTCAATCCTCGATAGTACATCAAAATCAGAATAGAGTACATCTGTATCACACAGGAAGGAGAATTTATTTTTACTTGTGACATACCATGAAGAATCATACACAGGTCCTCTAATAGGATGTATTTATTACATAAACAGTATTTTTAAACATACCCTCATTTAAAGCTACTTAAATTTCAGATCAGCTAGTAAGTATTATAGTATCTAATTTACATTCTAAATTATTGAGAACAAAAATCACAGTTATTAATAAAAGAAAAACAAAAAACAATCCACCTTCTGCCACTACACTACACTTTGAGAAAAAGAGACATTAAAAATGTTGTAGAGTCCATGTCTGGTGTACGTCTTCTGATTTATTAACCATTCATCACAATCTTCACACATAGCATGCATTATCACTGTAAGCATCTGATCATTCAGAAATCAAAGGATTATAATAGGATAAAATTAAATTATATAGCAAACTTCCCACTCAACAAAAGAGCAGATCGTGAGGTTTGTGGATACCAGACATTAGGAGTAATAATTGAGGTTTCGTTATTTGTACAATGCTGTGACAGAATAAAATATTTGTGAGGAATACTATTTCATACGTATTTTTTCTGGATAAAATTTTCATACGATGAAGACATTCTTATGAAGGAATTGTACAAAACTGCATTAATCCTTTCTTAAGGGCAGTCTGAAAACCACAAAATTAATTCCCCCCAAAATAATTCTTTGACATAAAAACACCAAATTTTAATTCCATGAAAATTCTTATAAATATGTACACAGTATTTAAACAGCCTTTGATAACTTAGGATGTACATGTAAAATGTGAATTAAAGTTGCCTTTCTTTATTTACTTGATTACCCTTAAAACTTCTTTAAAATATAGGGAAGTTTGCCAGCAAGCTAATGAAGCACACAAGTACAATTATTGTATAACAAAGCTGTACATAATTTACAAGTGTCGATCTCCCAGCGTTACACATATATTTTGAATTAGCCCGTTTTTTCCCACACATGGTAGAACTTGTGAGTGTTTCTCCGTAAACACCATGTATTGTTGATAATTCAATATATCTGACCCGGTATTAATTATCTCATACACATAAGTGCATGAAACTTTCATACATTTAGCAAAAATGCTTTATACGAGTTCATCAAAGGCATTGCAAAATCAAATAAGGGATAGGGATTCTTTAACAGAAATTTAAAGCCAATCAATATGTATATATAGAAAGCCAATTTTCAGTTTAATACGGGGTCAGATACTGTCGACAATATTTACATCAATGTATATGCTGATATATGGAACTACAGTATATAACTGTCTATCAATGATCTATGATGAAAAATATGCAAGCTTCTGTCGATAAGATGTTATTTCTTTGAGAATACAAAATAAATTTTGGCATTTAAATATCTTGTTTGTGTCAAATCCATTTCTTAGCTGTGATACAAATTAAACACTTATAACGTTTTTATCACTGAAGAACTCGTGCTCAAAGACTAATAAGAGTAACATAAATCCACAGTGAATGAACAAAAACCAAACACCTTTGTGTCTTCCTTATAGTTAATGTAATCTAGAGGAGAAAAAAAATCTGGGAATGTACAATGGAAGATTAGTAAAAAATCAATTAAACATTCTTATAAATTACACATTAACACAGCTATTGTACTACACATAGATGCCCTTGCTTACGGACTTGCCTTTAGTATGTCACTAACTGACTCAATGAGTTGATACTTTTGTACACATTTACCCTCAGTGGAGAAGTACAGAAAACACAGAAGATCTACTTTCTTTCTGTAAATAATTATACTGTGTAAACAAAACCACAATTGCACAATGCTACTGTGAGAGAAGTAAAAAACTCTGATACACAATTACAACAAAAAGAAAGCAACATGTTCTAGCACTTCATTATAACTTGTTAACATTACTGTTTAAATTTTGTAAAATGATAATTTCACCAGCATGAATTTTATAGTTTTTTTTCTGGATTTCATAGATTTTCAATTTATGAATACAGTATCACAGGTTCATATATGGTCTAAAAGTTTAGTCAAGCTGAGAGCATATTAATTTTCAAAAATAAACACAATGTCTGAATATGGACACTTGGTGCCTGAACCTTGGATGTGAATTCTCTGTCGTATCTACAGTCTCTGGACTTTGATTTTGATAGGAAGCTGATCTGTCTCCAGTTTCTCCTGAGGAAACAGCAGCCTCACTCCCATTGCTTCTTGTTCCCTCAAATATTCTAAATCACCATTTATACTTAGCTTCTGAAAATCAAATATAAAGGCCCACTGGTCATATTGCTCACTTGGGTTATATAATAGAGTGTTATTTTGTAGATTAGATTATCTGTTTTATTCCAACTTAATGAAAATAATAGTTCTTTTATTCTGAATGAATTCCTCTGGAGTGAATAAATTCTGTGTATACAAATAAACTTAAGGGAACATAATAGATACTCAATTTTCATAAAAGACCCTGACATTGATTTAAAATCAGATAAAACATAGATTGCAGAAATGTTATCCTGATTTAATGTGAAAAATACAATTCTACGGATATTTTTACACAGTATGTAAGAGTACCTTGTAGTTTTGCTTGACTCTGTGTTCAGGGGAAGTAACTGCTGCTGTCAGACAGAGCCAGATCATCATCACTGCACAGGACAACAGAATCAGACTCAGAATCAGGCGCGGCATTCCGGTCCTCTTAGACACGCAGGACAGCCAGTCCGTGGATTTCTTCTCCCCCTGAGACTGGGATAATTCCACAGAGTCGCCAAAGCCCAAAATCTGGGAGTTCTTCAGGACTGGAGTGGCTGACCCATCTACAGAATCCAGATTAGTCTCAAAGTAGTTAGCTGTGTTGTACTCTACAAAAATGGAATAATTACAAATAAACTGGTATCATGTAATTGGAGGGGGGGGGGCATATCACCATTTTTGTGAAACTATTCCCAAACAGTGGTTATTTTTGCAATTCTGCCAGTTTTTTTTTATATTCGAGTTATCTATATTCATGTAATCTACATAGTAAATGATAAACTTAAGGAAATATTATGCAAGTTTATTTTTGGCAATCTAAAAAATGCTCACAAACATAGGAAAAAATTGGATTATTCCAAAAATTCCCATTTTAGGGTAATACACTTATATGCAAATCATGCTTTTGCTTCCTTCCATAAGATGTGAAATTTTTAAAGATGGAAATATGAAACAAAATTTCATCTACCAAACTTTACTGAAACTTTTTATTAAAAAATTTAAATATATAAACAAACGACCTACTATGTAAAAAATGTCTCACCATCATCTGTGTCTGTGTTGTCAATCTGAGCAAAGAACTGGGGCTGTGACTTGACAATAATGACCCTCTGTTTATTGGCATAAAAAGACCAGCTAGCTGACATACCCGAGTACATCTTGTCTAACATGCTGGAGTAAATACTGTGTACGTACATCAGGGGGTACATCACATCCATCAGGTCATCCTATTATAAAGATATGTTAACTTATACTGTGATAAATTGCAAAAGTTCATTTATCATAATTAGGGCAATTTGTTACCTTTTTCTAAACAAAACATTGTGTATTCTATTTTGTGTATGAAATGTATCTAAAATAAGTGATCTAATTTGTATGAAGATATGAAATGGATCATATACCTGGCCCTGACTTTCTAGAACATGGGGCACCTGGCTCTTACATCCAAGTGAACAAGCATCCAGCTCCTCACTTTTATTATAGGCCTCTTCACAGGCTGTTAAATAATCACAAGATATCATATATAATCACAGGATATCATAAATACAACTGTTATTATAGGCCTCTTCACAGGCTGTCAAATAATCACAAGATATCACAGATACCAGGGTTGTCCCAAAAAGTGGTAGACAATGTTTATAATTTATTTAACATGCAACCAATACTAACCAAATTTTGCATAGACATAATATATTCAATGTTCTTTAAAAGTGTGAATTTTTAAATATGTATCTTTAGTATTAATAATTTTAGGACGATTTATATGAACGCCGATAAAGCCTGACAGCGCACGGACAAAATTCGGAAGAATTCACCCATATAACTTTTACATTTCCTTTCATTTCTTTAGTACTATGTAATAAATTGAATTCAAATTTAAATCACTGAAACCAGAATCAAAATCCTAATAATATGTCAAAATTTCATATAAATAGCATTAGAAACAGACGATTGGTATAGTGATTTTCATAGTATCATTGGAATTGAGTTTGATAAAAACGACATCGTCAAATGCGTTACTGCGCACGGAGATGTAAAAAAATTGTGTTGGATATGGTTTATATACATCAGAGTCAAGAAAAAAAGAGTTCAGAAGTGACATTACACTCCAGATTTTAATAAAGAAGTTATTTTTATATGGCACGATTTTCAGTGAGAGCTTTAACCCTATACCAAATATAGTTACAGAATGTAAGAAGTAAAGTACTGTTTGTTAAACTCAGACATTTGGGAACAAGCTGGACCGCAAATGACATCAAACAATGTGTATTCTCTGCTGCCTACAATGTAAGGCGATCTTTCGACTAAATTTTGACTGAAATTTGAATCTGCTTAAAAAAAAACAAATAAAAAAAACAAACAAAGACTAGTGAATTTAAATAAGTCTAAAAAAAATTTTGAGTGTTAGTAGACGCGAGTGAAGCAGACAAAGAGATCATGACGTTAAAAGAAACGTAATTTACACTTGCTTTCGTGTGCCTGTGCACACTTACATTCTTTCATTATTTTTTACATAATTTTCTTATTAGATGTGATATCATCATGAAACTTGAAATGCATGATCATAAAATGTTACTTTTTGCTATGACAAGGAAAGAAATTTAATTAAGCAAAGAGAAACTACTCAGTAAGCTGTTTTCCCTGTCTACGACTTTTTGGATCCACCCTCGTACAATTGTTACATTGACAATTAACTATAACATAGTATTGTCACAGTTTTATAATTGTAATTTTTTTTGTAAGACATCATGCTCCCTTTCTTTGACTAAGAAAACAGTGCAAACTGAATTACTTGTACATTTATTCTAGGATTACGTACATGCTACACATCCCTGCTTTGTGAGATTCTGACTGTTGTGGTTACAGTAAACAAACTCCATGATGGAATAGAAACGACATCCTCTTTTACAGGGATCCATTAAATAACTCTACAAAAATAATTCACATTTAATAGCGAGGGCAGCGAGCCTTGAGAAGGAATGCTTTCGAAGCGAGCTCAATAGACTGATGTGTTAGAACAGAGGAAATTGGGAATGAAATCTGTACAAATGTCTGGCAAAATTTTATGTGAAACCTTCCTAGAATTTCTTTGCTACCAGGATTCCATGCGATAATGGGGAAAAAATAAATAACATAAAAAATAAAAGGCTTTCTGTTTGTAGAAATCTTACAAGCTATAAGAAAATACTTTATACAATCTAATTAAAATTAGATGTTAGATCCACTCGCATACTCGCTACACTAACATGATATCATCTAACAACATCCCATAGAGGGTCATGTCAGAAGTCAAATTCAGAACAGCTCTAGACTTTTCCACTTCGATTACGTCAACAAATATACAATGATTTTGCAGGCGACGATTTGATTGGTTGATAGAATTTGACCCCTGACACGACCCTCTTTGGGATGGTGTTAGATATTAGTATAGCAAGTATGCGAGCGGATCTAACATCTAATTTTATGTAGATTCATACTCTACAATGTCTTTCGTCAAAAATTGCACTTGGTCTATGCCGTAGTTTCAATCAGACAAGTGGCTGTCTCCATAGGCTCCGACAATCTCCTTTATGTCATGTGATGTCAGAGGTAGTCAACATGTCTCTTGCGACTTGATGTTTGAAGTAGCCGATCAATGTTTCATTGACAAGTGTCTTTTTGAAAGTGTAACAGCGCTCACCCCAAGCATCACACCATAAAACATATTATTATTAATATATGTAATATGGCACAGTGGCATAAAGAAAACACACTAACCCATTGCATTTAATGTAAGTCACTTATCAGCTTTGGACAAAAAATGTAGCTACTGTAATACGTTCTATTTCCATTAGTAAACTCTTCACATAGGCGTCGGAACCGGTAGGCTAGGGGGGGGGGCTTAGCCCCCCCCAATTTTTTTGCAAAATTAGACATTATATAGGCATTGAAAATTGGGATTTACGTTTTTCTGTTGGTTTAGCCGCCCCCCCCCCCACTTTCGATTAGCCCCCCACCCTTTCAATTTGCTTCCGACTCCCATGCTTCAGAATTAGAGACGCATTTGGTCATCTGACTTGGACAGCATGGGGTTGAGGATAATACAAAACATGCCAATCTCAGTTAAAATTTTAAATGTTAAATGTATCTGTCACTCCAGTTGAATAATAGATGAACTAAAAGACATGTAAGTCTAAGAGAGCAAGAACCCTATAAAATTTATCATCCATTGATAACAATACATTTCAGAGGCATGTTTATTGTTTTTAGATGACGTTTTTTTCTTATGCCATTTCAGAGGCATGTTTATTGTTTTTAGATGTTATCATATGATAAATAGATTCAACTACAGATATAAACTGATATCATTTTCATTCGATTTCTACTCTTGATGTATAAAAAATCCACAGCAATAGAATATTTCATGTTGTTAGGATTTGTTTGGTGACATTCAACATGTTCAACATTATATTGTTTACATGTTTATGTAAATACATTTGTCCCAGAAATCCCACAAGATTTGTATATTTTCTGATTTTTTCACAAAAGAGCGCACTAGGAAGTTTAAGTCTTCTTCCGTGGAAATAGAACGTATTGTTGCAAGTGACATTTGAAGATTATATTCATAATATAATTTATAATATGAATTTAAGATAAAGCTGTGATGAACATTTTTGTCAGAAATGTCATAACACATAATCTGATGATTAATGATATTTATCAGCAACTTAATATTACAAAAAATTCCTTTATTTGAGTTTTTTTGGAAGAAATAAGTTTTTAATAAAGATTGAATGGCTAATATAAGCTGCATAACTACATCAATAGCTACCGGATCTACATAGAATGACTGTGCTTGTCTATAAATATAACCAAGACAATATCAAACCTTTACCTTTTCAAACGTATGAGGACTGTATGTATTTGCACAAGACTTTGTACATGATGAAATATCGTCGAGAACTCTGCTAAATATACTGTCAGCCGAACAACACGTAAAAAACAACAGGGATATACAACAAACAAAGCCTAACTGCAATGTCGCCATTTTGGCTGACTGGATTGATGTTATTGTCACGTGATCCTATGATAAAGAGATTAGCTAAATCGTTCTAAAGAACAGTCATTTCACAGGAAAATGTCGAACTTTTTGGTCTGTGATTTTGCACATTTTTGACATTTATGTAAAATTCAAATGCCATGGACAAAAGGTAAAAATTGTTTGTATTTATGGAAATAAAGGTCATGTCAAACTTTAAGGTCAAGGTCAAAAGCATTTTATATCCATGAAAAAGTCTTGTAACAATGAATACACATGTTACTTTTTTTGTATGTGAAGTTTTAAAAGTACTATATGTTTAAAAGTGACATAACTTATACTGTACTACATTTGAAATCCTAAGTTTATAATATTCGGTAAATTTTTGCAAAATGGGTCAAACTTCAAGGTTAAATAGTTTGGTTTCTCTGTGAAAAGACCTCTCTTTCGATTTTTTTTTTTAAATCTTAGAATTAAATTAACTTAAACGTGGTCATAAACGTTTATAATTAAAGGGATTTCATGTCATATCACTTAATGTCCTTGCAACAAAACGTATCTTTGCCACCATTTTGACCTCATGACTTTGACCTTTGATTCTAACTTACCTTAGTCTGGTTATGACTTCTAAACGGTTGGAGCTAGGGCTTTCATATTTTACATTTATATTTCTTGTGACATACCCTTTGTTTGGACACAAAAAATTGACGTCATACCCTTGATCTAGAAGGTTGACCTACTTGTAGAAAGTTTAACTTTGACCAGAACTTTAAAAAGACACACAAGGGCTTTCATATTTCACGTGTTTATTCTTTGAGACGAGACCTTTTTGAGTTTTCCTAACATTTAACCTTGATGATTGACCTAAAATATTTCATCTTGGTGGTGATAACTTCTGAGGGGTTGGTTCTAGGGCTTTCACATCTCACATATATATATTTTGTTGTTTTTGTGACATGTCTTTTGTTTGATTTCTTGAGCATTTTTTTTTTAATCTTTTGACCTTTCCGTTGATCTACTGAAAAAAAATGAACCTTTGCCATAGCTTTTGAACAGTTTGTGCTCGTCTAATAGCTCTTTCATATTAATGTGGCAAGGCCCTTTTTAATTGGTTATTACATTTTTTATCTCATGAATTTGATCTTGGAGTTGACCTTCTTAACATGATAAAGCTGAAACATTGTCAATATGAAATTGTCATACATGCAGTGGCATTCACTACAGTCATATATTTCACAAACACATGTACATCTTGTTAAAGTTTTAGTCTAAAAGACATGTTTTAATCCCATGGGAGTAATTTAGCCTCGGTGCTCAAAACCAAATTTGATAATTTTACGATAATATGATGACCGTAATGTTATCAAAAGGGCAGCTGTGAGTTCAATCTACGCGAATATAAATTGATGCCGATTAAAGCAAACATGCAGATGTCCTGACTGTTACTTTGAAGCATATTACGGCTACTTCGAATATCCAAAGGTCGGGCATTTTATCATTAATTCTTATAGTAAACGACCTTATTATAAGCTGTTTAGTCAAGGTTCTCGAAGACATCTCACTTTGGGTGTTAACACAATTATAAATAATAATGTCCATCTTAACTCCTTTATTTTTAAATTCTCATATTAAGGGGGTTGGGGGTTGGGTTGGACATTTAATTTTTTTTGTAGTTTTTATATATTACAAAAATCTCCTATTCCCTTGCTTCTTATCTCTCTAGCTGCACATTTCTTCTTCTTCTTTTTTTCTTTGAAATCATAAATTTGTTGATTGTACATCAGTCAAAATATATATGAATACGCTTTTTTCGTCATTTTGTTTGGGTTGTTCAATACAATGTAGTCGGAAAATAGCTCTTCAGAGCTAATGTTCTTTGTTGATGTACCCGACTTTAAATAAATATTATCTTATCTTAATGTGTTTAAATAAAAAAATCATTCATATGTTGTTTGCCTCTTCTACACACATTAGCACATTTTTCGTTGCAGTATACATGTATATATAATATTGCAGTGGAACTCTGATAAATTTCAAAAAGCTTTAAAAGAAAAACAACGCAGCGACGGATTATATTGAGCGCAACAAAGTCACACAATATATGTACGCACACTCACAGCCAAGCCTGGGATTTACTAAGTCAATGTTTGTCAAGGCCGGGGATATCATTTCCAGTCTGGTGTCAACTAGAGCTACATCCGCCTATAGCACGACAGAAAGAGGATTATTACTTAACTATATATTTCTATTGATTTATGAGCGGTCTCTTTCTTGTTTTATGATTCACGTGGAGGTCCTTAGAATTCAGTTCCGGCTGGAGGGAGGAGGGGCTAACGCTATAATATTTTTGATAGATAAGCACCTCTCCATAACCCCACCCCGAAATGCCAGTATTAATTATAACTTTAATTAATTATGGGAAGGAAAACAAATAATTTACTTTATATGTCCATGGTTTAGCAAACTACTACAATAGACTTCATCCTTTCCATTTGTCAAATTATATTTCATTGATTCACACCCCCGGTCACACAAGAAACTTTTAAGTCATTCTAAACCGTCGCCAGCACTTGAAAAAATAGTAAAGTAAAAATTGGAATCTGAATTGCTTCAGTTCCGGTGTGAAATTATTCAATAAATAATTAGTTTAAAAAAAAAATCAAAAATCATATCCTATTACAACAAGTCTTTAGAAGTATAAATATTTTTATACGCTAAGAGAAAGTTTAACCAAACACTATTGAAAACCACACGGAGTGGACGGTGATGGACCTTTCTCTAAAACTTTTCCATATCTTTTTCCCTCAAATTCTTGAATTTGGAAGTGTTTGTAAAACGTGGGGGAGGGGCAAGGAGCTTGAAAATGAAAACTTTCTTTGTAACACGTACTGGAAAAGTGGAGGGCGAACGGGGTCTATATAAAATTTAAAATACGTGTATACATGTACAGTAGTTATGTCTTTGAGCATCTGAAAAAGACATTAAAAATTTCAAAACATATAATATGATTACGTAGTTATTGATACATAAGATTTAATTGAGATTTAAACTACGCGAAAGTAATAAAAATATATTTTTAAGAGAGTGTACTTGTATAGATCTACGATGAATTTTGGCGCCAAACTTCACTTTCGAATCTTCTCGGGATTCTTGCCTCCAATAAACGATACTGAAAGGTTGACTTATCACTTCCGGATCAGACCAATCGTGGCTTTCGATCGCCTTGCGCGTGGTGGGATTTGATTGGTTCGACTTTTGCCATGTGGACCAATGATATATTTCCATCTGTAAAGTCACGTGGATTACGCCGGCATCTTCACTATCAACAGAACAGCTCTGGAGGACACGTCCAAGATGAAAACGTGCGTTTGTTTGCTCCTTTTTGTGGGAGTTACTCTGTCAAAAGCAACTGAGTATTTCAGGGAAGAGTTTGATTCAGGTTTGTAATACTTCTTTAGGTGCAGTTTTGCATGAAAGTGCTATTCACTATTCATTCTATCTACACCAACTCTTAACTTGTCAGTGTCATGAGTGTGAATATAATGTTTTGCAATAATTTACAGGCAGAGTTATGAAAATATTGTTAATCTTTCATATATGCTTAAACTTAAGCAAAGGTCGATATAATATGTGAAGTATAGAAAAATCTTGCAGGACATTTTATAACATAAACACTGCAAAATGCTTCTAGACTTCAAAATACTTTATATTTTGTCAGAAATATTTTAAAATGAATCTTAATCTTAGAAATTTTTAAAGCTTCAAATAATAAAAAAAAATTGTAAACAACTGCAGATGACACCTGTAAGATTAAATTTAATGTTTTCAGAAAGTTGGAAAGACAGATGGACGGAGTCTACTTTCAAAGGAGCTGACCAGGGTAAATTTGTCTGGACTGCAGGCAAATTCTATGGAGACCCTGAGAAAGATAAGGGTATGTTTTCAGATAGAATCAAAACATTGAGTCGTGAAATTTTCTCAAGGCAACAAAATAACAACTTGTTAATATATATGCTAATTGTGTTTGTTAATTATTCTGTCAGTCTAATGTCAGTTTTACAAGATGCCTGGCAGGTATGAAACATGAGTTCCTAAATGGGAAAACTAATCTGAACCATTTCTTTTAAAGGAATCCAAACCTCTCAAGATGCTAAGTTCTATGGAATTTCTTCCAAGTTGGAGAAACCATTTAGCAATGAGGGAAAGCCTCTGGTCATCCAGTTCACAGTAAAGCATGAGCAGAACATTGACTGTGGTGGTGGATACATTAAACTTTACCCCAAAGATCTGGACCAGAAAAATCTACATGGAGATTCTCCATATTTCATCATGTTTGGTAAGATTTCAACATATTTTACAAGATAAGCAAAGTTCAGTATTATGTAAAAGCAGGTGTTATAATGGATTTTAGGTAAGATTTCAACAACAGTGGTATAATGAATTTTTGTTTTTCAGGACCTGATATTTGTGGACCAGGCACCAAAAAAGTCCATGTCATTTTCAACTACAAAGGAAAGAACCTGCTATGCAAGAAAGAAATCCGTTGTAAGGATGACGTTTTCACTCACCTGTACACCCTTGTTGTCAACCCAGATAACAGCTATGTAGTGAAGATTGACAACGAGAAAGTGGAGAGCGGACAGCTGGAAGAGGACTGGGACTTCCTGCCACCAAAGAAGATCAAGGTATTACAGATAATAATGCTATTATGGCCTAGAAAATCTCTAAAAGGAGTTTTTCCTTTTTAAAACTGAAAGTTGAAGATCTGACGATTTTGTTTAGTGTACCAATAGTTGTCTGATAATCAGGGTTCGAAATTAACTTTTTTTAGCACTAGTCCACACGGACTAGTGACTTCTAGCTTCCACTAGTCCGCAACCTATTCCACTAGTCCACCCTATAGTATGTAAAAAGAATAATACAAATCTTAAAATTTTATCAATTAATTCAATTGTGTCCACACATCAGTTGGAAGCATGTGGTAGAGGGTTTTCCACATGGAGTTGTCTATTGATCACAATGTAGAAAACGTCGTGGTTGGATTTATTTTCAAACATAGAAATAAAATTAATAAAATGTGAACCGACAAGACTTATATCCGGATTTGCACTTCCGTACGGACTAGACCCCAGACACAATTTTTACTAGGCGGACAAGAAACCCTGATAATAGTTGTGAAATCATAGAAAATACACTTCGTTGTAGGATCCAGAGGCCAAGAAACCCGATGACTGGGATGAGAGGGAGAAGATCGATGACCCCGATGATAAGAAACCAGAAGACTGGGACAAGCCCGAACACATCCCTGACCCAGACGCCAAGAAACCTGATGACTGGGATGATGAGATGGACGGAGAATGGGAACCCCCACAGATTGATAACCCAGACTACAAGGTACACAGTGTTATTATCCAGAAAGAAAACTTGTATTTGATTGATATTTGACTATTGTCATATGACACAAGTCAATAAATTCATACTTATTATGCAGGGAGAATGGAAACCCAAGCAAATTGATAACCCTGATTACAAAGGCAAATGGGTCCACCCAGAAATTGATAACCCAGAATATACTCCTGACAGTAACCTCTACAAGTATGATGATATTGGAGCTGTAGGATTTGACCTCTGGCAGGTAAGGATGTTGTAATGCAAAAAATGTTACATGAATTGAAATTGCCACCTTTATTTAACTTTTATTTCTGTTTTTTATGTACATGTCAAGAAGTTTCTGAATTAATTATAGGTGAAATCTGGTACAATTTTTGATAACATCCTGGTTACTGATGATGAAAAACATGCTGAAGAAGTCGGAAAAGAGACCTGGGGGAAAACCAAAGATCCAGAGAAGAAAATGAAGGATGAACAGGATGAAGAGGAGAGAAAGCAGAGGGAGGAGGAAGAGAAGAAGAGAAAAGAGGAAGAAGGTAAACAAATAGTTAAAATATCACTCAATTACTTCCTGGTTAAAGTTCAGAAGAAAAAGGTAGACAAATGCTTAGAAGAAAATGTCACTTATTAACTTCCTGGTTGATGTTCAGTGTTCCTTGGAAAAGAGAGATAACTCTTTCTTGAATAAACGAATTACAAAAATTATTCCCTTATAAAATCACCATTTCCATCATAATTTTATGCAAGGAATAGTAAGAAATTGCATCTCATTTTGGAAAATCAGTAGTATTAATGCAGAATTCCACACAATTGAATACTGAACAGAGAAATGGTTAACTATGAAGTAGAAATTTTTTGCAACAAAATCTCACCTACTGCTTTTTCTCCTCCAGATAAGAACAAGAAAGACGATGATGAGGGTGAAGATGAGGATGAAGAGGAAGAGGACAAGGTAAGAAAAAAGGGAGACCACCCAGGAATAACCCCCCCCCCCTCCAGAATAATTATTTTACTTTCTTGAGGATAAAAGCTGGGAACATGCAGAAAATATATAATTTTATATTCACCATGCAAAAAGTGTATGCCATTGTGAAAAAATATTACATGGCTTGAACTTTAATGAAGGACTCTTTGATCATTCATTTAGAAAATATATATCTCGGTATTTGAGAACCATTTATTAATGTATTTCTTTTCTTTTTATGTAGGAAGAAGAGGATAAGGCCACTAAAGATGAATTATAATAAACCAATTTAACTAGATCTTAAAGACATTTTGCAATGTTTAGGAAGACCATTCGAGCCAATTCATTTTTACCTCTTCATTGCTCACTACACAATTCCATTGATCATGATAAGCCATTCAATCATGAACATGTGATGAGTAACTGTGGACGTGTAAATGTGTCTAAATGTGTATGTTTACTTAGGGATGAATGCCTGAGAACTGAATGTTGATGTTAGATGGAATATAGTTTTCTATTCTGGGGACATTATTTATTGTTTTCACTTTCAGCAGATAGCTTTACTTAAATTGGCGAAAAAATCAAAGGGTCCATTCTTTTTTAACTCTTTATAAAAAAAACTATTGTCTGTTGTTAAGTATAATTTATTCATGAAATGTGAATAAAAGTGGGGTTTTAATAAATCTGTGTTATTGTTTTTCCTCCTTTATTTTTCTAATCTTGACCTGTGTTATGAACTTAAATAAGTGACGTGCCAATATAAAAATACTGGTAACGCATAATTTGTCTGTAAATGTCAAAATGGCAAGGTCCAGCTAGTACTCTAAAAGACTAAACCATTGAAGATGATGATTCTTTGGTTTTGATGAATGGTGGTCTTGTGGTTATATACCAAGAAATGGAAATTTCTTTTGTTCATGTATACAATTGCAACATTTAGACTTGACCTGTAGACTCTACAAGCACATTTTTCATTATCAGAAAAACACCAGTAGAACTACAGCCTCATCAAACACTTTGTCTTAGACTATAAAATGAAGGTGAAAAAAAGGGAAATAAAGCCTTGAAAATGAGGCCACCTTATCTCTTTATAAGTGCCTAGTACTGATTAAAATTTCAAGTCTTACAATGACAACAGATGGTGTTTCAGTTAAGAGTAATTTAAATGCAATTTCAAGAGTAATGTCCCTTAGCGTGAATGGGTATAGGCCAAACTAATTTTACTTACACAACTATCAGAACAGGGTTATATAAAACACTTGACATTTTTATCTTGTAGCTGCTTTGTGCAGTACACGTTCATCTTGCATGTTCTTTGTTAATGTGTTCATTCTTTTCATCTTTTTATTGTGCATTATCCTGCACAATTAATTTCATAATTTATACCGATGTAGCAGAGGCATACAGAAGTCAATTTCATTGAAGTAGATCACAATGACAATACTGACATCTGCTTAGGTGAATTCTTTGAAGAGAAATACTGTAAATTCACATATTTTCGTGGGGTCAAATTTTCATGGTTTGAGGGAAAGAAAATATTGGATTGTGGGGATTTAACGTCATGGTTGGAAAAAGTTTTGTAGTAATGCATATGGAATTTAGCATTTCGTGGTGGTCGTAAATTTGTCGGTCTCTCCATACCTCGAAAACATGAAAATTAACTCCCCACAAAAATAAGTGATTGCACAGTATACCAAGATGTGAATGTGGCCTGGAGGAGTACAGTCCAAGAAGAAAGAATATGGCAGACAGCAATAACTCTCTTCCTTTTACTAGCAACTTTAATCATCAGCCAGGCATAAAATGTATAGCTTCAAAATAAAAACAACTCCATCTCTCTTACACATTTTATTTTACTAGTGCTTTTGTTATGTAGATATTTCAATATTGCACTGTTTGTATCTGAAATCAATCTCAGAGTTTGATAACAAACCCTAGTAACAATCCACACAAATAAAACAGCCATAATAATATATGCATATAATTATAAATATTCAATTAATAACCTACTTCACTACTTTATTGCACTTATTCTTGAACAAAAGTGTATTTTTCTCAGCACTAAGGAGTATTTTGTTTACAGTATTATTAGTTGTATTTATCTGGTGGTCACAACAAAGATGTGGAAGACAAAAATATGATTGTTTTCAAGAAAATGCTGTCTCATGTTGAAAAAAAAATCAAAAGCTATATAAATATAATTCATAATGCATAGTTGATAAAATACTGATAATTTGACATCAAAGTTGAATACAACCTAAAATATTTCCATCAAAAGTGCAGATAACACTTATCACAGTTTCAAAACCGGTTTCAAAATTCTGGGATTACGTGAGCTCAAAAAATTGTAATGACAATTATATAAGGTTATTATGTGTGTTTCATAAGAGGTGTCGATGGAATGGACAGGGATAAAGCAGATAGTCTGCCATTATCTCCCTTTGGTGATTATCTGTCCAGGAAGACTTACAAAAAATAAGGAAAGAAAAAAATCACGAACAATATAATCCAGAATACAACGAATCCATACCAAGTATAAGAGGTCTGACTATTGTTATAAATACTTACATGTCATAAAATGTTAAAAGTAGTCTTTCCTTTTTTTTTTAATAAATAAGTTAGTGTTTGAAAAGTGAATTCATTTCCACATGCATAAATACATAACTTTTTTACCATACCATCTTTTCTCCTTAAAACTAATAACTAATATAAATATAAAATTTAATTCTCTAACAAAACAAAGCTATTTTGAAAGCAAAACAACATGAAGGAAACTCAAAAATAACTTGGTTTGTGTAACAACATGATAAGACACTTAAAAACTACAGTAGAAATTGAATATTCTGTTTCAAAAGTAACAATAAGAAAAAGAATTCCATAAACTCCCATAAAGACATGAATTTAGTGAAGCACAGATAGAGTTAGAAGGACACAATAACGTAGATAACATCATCACAGCTGATTTGTAGAGTCTTCCTGTCTTTGTTACTTTATCTTGTTAACAGTAGCGTACACTGGCTCCTGCACAAAATCAAGTTTAAAACCCTTTTACTGCAAAATAAAAGTTCATATTAGCATTTCAAATCTTTCTTCATCTTCACTAGCCAAGGGTTTCTGATGCGCTACTCTCCTCATAAGCCCTGGATTATGAGGAGAGTAGTGTATCAGAGACCCGAGATGGTGAAGATTATCTTTCTTAATTTATCTTTCATAAATCTCATGATCCTATATCCATATGAAATTATTACAGACTTTCAGAGTAAAACAGTATTGATAAGAAATGTGTATATATCAAGTAAATAAGCAGTATATTGATAAAAAATCTCATTAGTCATTTTTTGATATTACATTTTTATGTAAGTGCACGTCCAGGAAAATAGTTCTGGATTAAAAGAATGAAACCTTGCTAAATTCCTCAATGATATATTGGTACTTTTTAATTATTCCATTAACTGATACAATTTTATTCTATTAACTGATACAATTTTATTCTATTAACTGATACAATTTTCAAAGCAAGAATAGCCCATATAACTAAAGCAAGGCAAAGCATTGATTTGTTCATTAACAGCAATTTCTATGAACCTATTCACATCTTATAAATCTTATTTATAAAGGGGTTCCAAAAAAATTAGTAGAAGTATAAAATATATTAATTTGATTTACAGGTCTAATAGATAAAAGTCTGTTTTCTATATTTTTTATACTTATTAAAAGTATAATTGCTGCATGCGATCAAGCATTTAATCTGTTATATGAGCATTACATAAGCTGTATGCAGTCACACAGTCTATCGGTACATAGCATGTATGCAGTTACGCAGTATATCTGTCTACATGGGAATACATTGTATATACGTCTTGGCAACATATGATCAGTCTAATTTATTAATATATAATCAAAAGTCTACATCAGGTGGAATCCTTATCAATCTTCATAATTTTGTAAAAATCAAAAATTGGAAAATTTATGAATATAGACTGTAAACCATAAAGAACTATCAATCACACCTGAAATCAAGAAGATCTATAAGAGGACTAAAAAATACTCACAGAACCGTTCTGGACTGGTTTTGATGCGACCAGAAATCCAAAGGGATCATTAGGGTCCGACACAGGCTGCAAAAGTTAACCAGGTCATCTTAATGTTACCTTGTATGTATGCATTGTATATTAAAAAGATATATGAAGATAAACAGAAGTTATCAAAAAATGTTTCATCTGAAAATCTGTTACATGCATTTTTAAAATACAAAATCGATACTTTAGCAATAAAGTGTTTTTATAACAGTATAACTGTTGTGCAATTGTTAATAAAGTGTGCATATATCTGATGAAGGAAAACAGAAAATGGATTAAAGGTAGGTAAAGCCAACTAGCAAAGAAAAAAATGTCTTCTGAAAGAAAAATGGGATTCCTGCAGGAGACATAATGATTGCACATTAAATTTTAATTTACAGTTATGATACTACCTGGTATAATACTATATTTACTACAATTAAATTTCAGAGGTGTACATGCTTTAAAATAAGTATAAACAAATTGGTCAAAAAAATTAAACTTAATTTTATTGTTATTCCATTTGATCATGCAAAGCAGAAAAAAAAAGTTTCATACTCTTGTTGCTACATTCATTTGCATCTTGGTCTGATGAGTGATTAAAAAATCCTTAATTGAGCAACATATCAAATTAAAATGTCAGAGATTGAAAATGATATTATAGAGAGAAAATGACAAGTTAGTAAAAAGAAACCTGCAACACTATAAAATTTGAGTATCAAAAATTTCCCACTCTTTCAAAATGCAACACACCAAACTTGGAAAACAAAAATTTAGCTTGGTAAAAAAGCATATCTATAAACATAGATTGCACATTTATTTTGTCATTTGATCCTCTAGGGAAATTCTGATTTAACTCAGCTTATATCAAAATAAAATCATTACTCAACTAAAACTGAATTTTTTGATACTTTCCAGTCAGTACTGAGATAGCATTAATAAATTAGACACAGCAAACTTTACACCTGTCTGATTATACTTACCATATTTTTACCACCGCTAGATTTTCGATGACTGTTTTTCTTTAAATTACCACCTTTACAATTAAAGGAGTCTCCAAATGAATTATCAAACACAGTGAAGGGATCATTTCTTGAATCACTTACAAAGTCTCCATTTTTAGTGTCTGAATTATTTTTAAATGGACTAGAAAATGGGTCACTAGAATTCAAATTGTCAAAAGCAGAAGACCCAAATCCATCTGAATTGAAAGGATCTGTGTCTGCAAATGGGTCATTTGTTGCGAAGGGATCCTCAATTGTAAAGCTGCTGAAAGAGTCAGAGTGTGAGTCTTTGGTGCTTTGCTCTTTTGGTGGTGCTTCCTGCATGGACACGCTATTTCTAGGGGGTGGAGTTGGCATAGATGAAGGGGGAGCAGTCGGCATAGATGATGTGACATGTGACCGCGGTCGAGGCCGTGGAACTGGAGTATTACCGTTCGTGATTTGTGAATTGGATGAGAGTGATACAGTTTTTGGCACATTTTCTGAGTTTCTTGGAGGAGGAACAGGTAGGGAGGGAAGCTGGTGTCCTGTATGAGAAGAATTAGGTCTGGGTGGGGGAGCAGGAGGAGGGGGGTCATTTGGTAAGGGAGGGGGAGGGCCTTGCGGAGAGGGTAAATCAAAGTCATCAGAATTATCAAAGTCGTTCTGATTCAGAGTGAGTTCCTCTGTAGCTTTGCTAAAAGCAGACACATTAGAAGCACTATTGGGCTGCATGTGTAAAGCGGGGGAAGACTTGAGGAAAGATGTATCAAATGGGTCAGACAATTTACTGGTGAATGGGGAGAATTCAGCAGCTGGAAGACTCGAGTCCTCAACATTGCCAAATGGATCACTTGCCTGCTGTGGATTTTGTGTGGGCTTTTGCATCATTTCATTGATTGATTTTTTGGGAGGAGCATTACGCTCTGCAAATAAGTCTTTTGGAGTCTTATTTGCTTTTGTAGATCCAATGGTACACAGGTCAGCGAATGCATCCTTTGGTTGAGAGGCACTTGTTACTGGAGTGGCAAATGGATCTTCCACTTTGGTTGGCGCTAGAACAGGCTCATCAAACAAGGAGAAGTTCTGCTGTTGAGATACTTGTGGCTGTTGTTGACCTCCCCATGGAGTGCCCATTGGTTGTTGCCTTTGTGGAACTGGTGGTGGAGCAAGGCCCCCACCAAATCCTCCCTACAAGAAAGAAAAAAATACAATTCATACAATACCTGCAATTACATGGAAGACATTGGTTCATGTAATCATAAGACAAGTAAGTACCCCTTGCTGAGCAGCAAATGGGTTTGCCTGACTGGTTGGTGGAAATGGTGTAGCTGGCTGTCCAAAGGCTCCAAAACCTTGCTGTTGCTGAGGACCACCAAATCCTGGTTGAGGGCCACCAAAAGGTTGTTGAGAACCACCAAAGCCTTGCTGTTGTTGAGGGCCACCAAACCCTGGTTGAGGACCACCAAATCCTGGCTGAGGACCACCAAAACTCTGACCCCCTGGACCAAACAGACTCATGATATCATCTTTCTTCTTAGCAGGGGCAGGTTCACTGCTGAAGAGATTGAGTTCATCCAGGTCAGAACTGGCAGACTTGCTCTGATTGGTTTGTTCTGCCGGAGTTGATGAGGCTCCCCAGGGGTCAGAAGATGTGGCGGCAGAAGCAGGGGGTGAGGGAATATCATCAAATAATGACTCCATCTTGTCGATCTGTTTTATTCCCTGTAAGAATTTTCAAGGTTCATTTGTCAGTAAGAACAAAAGTAGAGGACAGTGAAGTACTGATATGAAAGATTAAATTACTAAAATATTCCTCATGCAATAAAAGTAGAAATTAAAAGTAACAACATTTCTTTTTTTGCCCTTTGTTCAAGTTTAATTTATTTTATTTTAGTTTAGCTAAATAACACAAAATAATGATATACAATTCCTGCACACTCAGTAATATGTTATTATATAATCATTATGTACATGTACAAGGGTTGTCCTTAAAAAACAAAGAGCAAATGTTTATAATTTTTTAACCTTGCAACAAATACTAACCAAATTTTGCACAGACATAATACATTCAATGTTCTTTAAAATTATGAATTTTTAAATATATATCTTTCATATTAATAACATTAGGACGATTTAGGCCGATAAGGCCTTCGGCGCACAAACAAAATTAAGAATAATTTACACATATAACTATTACATTTGCTTTATTTCTTTCGTACTGTGTAATACATTGAACTCAAATTTAAATCACTGAAATTACACAAAGCAAATACAAAATTTCATATAAAGTGCTTTAGAATTCAATGAAACATGATTTTCATTGTGTAGGATATTTTGATGAAAATGATGTATAAACATTTATACCGGCGCACATATTACTAAATTGTGTTGGATATGGTCTATATACCAAATTGACTACAAATTTCATTTGCAAACAGAAGTGACATTACACACCAATGTGTAATAAAGATAATGCTTAAATGGCACAATATTCAAGGAAAGTTTTTCCTTTATACCGAAAATAGTTACTCATTGCAGTATTCAGTTTACAAGCGCAACAATTAGTAACAAGTTATCTCTCTTTGCAAACAATGTGTATTCTTATATAAATGTAAGGCGATCTACCCCACCACCTAAATTTCAACTGAAATTTGAATTTGGAAAAAACAAGCATCAAAAAACAAACGGACACTAGTGAATTTACCATAAGTCCAAATTTGAACAAGAGTGGTCTATCCATAAAAAAATATATTGAAAAAATGTTAAATTTGTAACGCGAGTGAAGACAAAGAGATCATGATGATTATAAAAGACGTAACCCGCAAATCCTTGCGGGGCCGGTGTACACTTACATTCTTTTTTATTTTTACCTTTTTTCAAGTTTAATCATGAAACATGAAATGCTTATAAAATTTACTTTTTAAATAACACAAAATAAATTTAATTCCTGCAGAGAGAAATATGTTATTATATAGTCATTACGTACATGTCTATTTTTCCTACTTCTACTTTTTATTACCTGTTCAATGCTGACTAACTCTGTCTGTAGAGCTGACAAATCTGTGGGTTCTTTTTCTACGGGAGCATTGTTTGGTGGAACCTGACAAATATCAATAAGTCAGTATTAAAAGTATAATATATTATTATACATATAATATCGAAATATTTTTCATTTTTGTTTTTGGTATCTATCTGAATCAACTGATAATTTTCTTTTGGTAGTTATAAATTAATTTACCCAGTACAGTAAAACAGCCTTGTAGCAATCAAGCTTATAATGAAATGACACTTAAAACAAGGTGAGGTTCATTCCCATGACTTTTGAATACATTGTGAAATTAGCAGATACATGTGTTTAACAAAGCAATTGTTTGTCACAGGTACTATGTACATGTAAGCCTTTTTTATTACTGTATATATATTTGATTCATTTAAAGTTCATTTTATCATAATTTCCATCAGTATCATTATACAAGTGCAATGAAATATTGTGTTTTATAAGTACAGAGGTAGACTTTCAGTCAGAATGTTAGTTTTTAATGAAGTGTCATTTTAGTCTGACAGTTGATGTTATCTGAATCATTATGTTAATGGGAGATATTACACACATTATAAATTCATGTGATTATGAATATGGGTAGTTGTTAACAACATCTTGGCATCAACTTTATATAAGTTTTGAAGAATTTTCAAAATAATATACGTAAAAATTTAAAACAAACTGGTGAACTACTGGTAGATAACAAATACAACGTCAAGAAATGAATTTTTGGTAAATTTTGCCTTCATGGATCTGTAGAGGTATAAAGAAGAGCTTTTACTTGTTTAACTAAACTAATCTTAACTTGTTAAAATAAACTAAGGATAATATACCTGCAAATAAAATTTTGAAGCACAGAGCTTATGTACATGGTAAGCACACTTCCTAGTCCTAATAACTAGCCAGAAGTAAAGTTTGCTACTGTAAGCATTGGCTCCCTAAGTTATGACCTCCTTCACACTTTTAAAAGGCACTTATATTCATAAGCATCCAATGTTTATCAATTACAATATACTAAGTTATGACCTGAACAAAACTCCAAGAACAGAAGGATGGAGAGACAGATGGGCAGAGTGATTCCTACCCCTCCCCCCTTTCCAACTCAGTTTGCAGGGGCATAATATAATTTAAACATGCAACTAAAGAGCTCTCAATATTGATATGTTTTTGGTTTAAAACAAGAAGAATCTTTGGAGACAAGATAGACTATTTTTTTTCATTCAAAGCCTTGATTTCATTTAAGGATAATTTTTTGTGTTAATTATTAATATCAGAGAAAGAGAAAGATAACTAAGACCAATCACACTCAGATTCAGAAAACTAAGTATCAAGAAATTAATAAAGCATCTATAGCTACTGGAACAAAACTTACTTCATATATAGGCTCATCTACCTCATGCTCACCGGAGTTGTCCTAGTGATTTTATGTGAACAAGTTTACAAGGAAGCCACGAAAATCTAATACTAAGAATACTAAGGTCATGTACTATGTACCGGTACATGTACTGGATCAACAAACTACATCATTAATCGATCACAATTGTCTAAAATTTATAACAGCACTCTAGGTCTATATGTCTAACATTAAATGTACATTATCAATTGATTTCATAAAGGCTTCAGAGCTGTGAGAGTTTTACCTTTGAGTCTGGTTCATCATCTGTGGATGACTCTGTGGTTAATTCACCACCAAGTTGTACAACTGAATCAAAAAGATTATAGAGATTATATCAATGGTTTAATATTTTTTATATTAAAAGAAGGAAGAAAAATAGTAAACATATAGGTATCTACCCAAAAAAGTGACCTTTAAAATGAAGGTAAAATTTTAAATCAATCAATCCTTCAACTTCCTCTTTATACAAAATTTACAATAATAGATGAGACAATGAATTCTTCAAAATACCAATAAACATTTATTTTACACATAATCATTTATTCTTCTAACCAAACTGCACAATATGATTGATTGATAATGTTAAATATTCATGAAACAAAAAATTTGAATTTTACAGAATTCTTTCAAGCTAACAAAGATTTCTTCTGTAACTTCAATCTCTGACGTTGGTGAATCAAATCACTGTTCCAGAACATGCATTGATGAAATTGTCATTGTACGACAAATACTAAATTCATCTCTTGAATTTTTTTGAGCTGGCATACTAGTTTGGTTTCAATAAATAATAACAAGCTCAAGGGAAGAACCACCTCCATTAGCTTTAAGATGGCCATTCATCAAAAATTCATACAACACCCTATGCAGTCTAAACATATTTGGTGGTTTAAATCCCTAGATGCATCACTGATGCAAGTTTGGCCCAAACATAAATAAATATTATACTGGTCGCTCTTCTGGAACGTACAGGTCAGACACAGCATAGTCTGTATCTTAAATTGTATCACAAAATTAAGTCTACCCTAAGGCCTACATGTACCTTCTCAGGAACAGACTAGCTCCTAGCACATTAACATCAAAATTTGGTCAATCACCTGGAAAATGTTGGTCGAATGCAGAAACTCCTACCAGTCTGGTAGTATCCATCCCTACATGTGATATCCATGCAAGTTTAGTTATGACAGACCTAATACAATGAACTTAAAGGGAAATGAGAATATTGGACCTGACCAAAAAAACTTTTAACCCAGACAGACAGTGATAAAGCTCCTCCCTATGGTGACCGATTGTTAACCAGGGAATGACTATTGTGTTTGGACTGCTTACCATTGTTTGGCATTTCTTACCAGGGAATGACTATTGTTTTTGGACTGCTTACCATTGCTTGGCCTTTCTTCTTTCGGTTTGTCATCTGTCTGTTGTTTGGCAGCCTCCATCTCTTTCTTCTTGTTTTCATACACCACTTGGAAGAGGTCTCTCAGGGTCAACACCACATTTTCTGCCTACAATATTTTTTGAAATTTCATAAAATTCATTTACCGGGGTATTTATAGAAAATTGGAGTGACGTCTTCTTCAAACTGTGTTAGAAGTACTCCAAGCAAGCAAGAACTTACAGACAGTGCTTGATATCATGGAAAAGAACAAAATTGCAACACTTACCGCTTTTTCTGTTTTGATTCCAAAGAATTTATGAGTTCTATCCTCTGTCCCAAATATATAACCAAATGCTCGTCTGTCACTCACATCCCGAGAAATGAAAGAGATCTTATGAACAGGATGATGGTGCAATAATGTCTGAAATACAAGGTCTTTGGATGAAGTAATGCAGAGAATTTAAAATGCACCATTACTCATAGAAATTTAGGGAGGTAAATAATTTTTGTGGAACACAATTTTTTGCTGTTTTTGAGGGTAGAGAGAGCATGATGATAGTACTCACAGCTGTTCTTAGGTCAATGAGTTTGATCCCCTCCTCTGAAATGTTAATTATAATTCTCTGCTTGTGTTGACCAGCAGCCTTGACCGCCATTTTCTGAGCCAGAATGGTTTCCTGACACATCCTGTCCCCCCTGGCGTCGGCGACATCGCTCACTCCAATCAGCTTGGCATTGAACACCACGCCCTCACCTTTAAATCGGAACGGGTCATTCCTAGGATCTGCATTAAGAAAATGTAAAATTAATATCTGTGTCAAATACATACAGGAATAACTTTCATACTTCAATTTCACAATCCTCATTGCCGTATTTATTTACATTCCAGATTTTCATAGTACATAATTGTAGACAACACATTTCCTTTGAACCAAAACAACTTATTGTTTCCTGTCCCACTGGATTTATTTCAAACACCAGCCTAACAAAATCCTTCTCTTCTATTTCCCTTTTTATGAGTTCAGCTAATATTCATACTCAGGTAACAATTAGAAGCTATCAAGTACAACAAACAATTATCATCTTTGGTTATCTTACCTGTACTTATACTTCCAGTATCTGACTGCAAACGAAGAAATGAAGACATATTGATACAAACCACCTCCAACAGTGATTATTTCACTCTACATTCTCACTGAGCAATACTTACAGTGTATAAGTTTTATATATTAAACAAACAAAGTATGTAAATCACCTGCTTTAAAGGAAGTTTTTCTTCTTATTCAGAATTATCACAAGATTGTCATTCTATCGTTAATAGTCTAAGGTTCATTTTATATTATACGATGTCTAGTCATCTTTATACTTTACGTGTACAAGTAACTGTCCTTGTTGCAAGTCTTAGTGTGTGGTAAGTTTCTGCAATTTCCTAAGTGATATGTAATCAATTTTGTTTGTTTTGCTTTGGTCATTTACTTGTCAGGGGCATGGAAAGATTTATTAATTACTGAACAGACATATCTAAATTCCTCTACAGGAGGTTTATGCTATAGTTTAAGTTACCTACCTAGGGATGGTTTTTCTTATAGTTTAGTTTACCTACCTACAGGAGGTTTTGTAACCTAAGTTATTTACCCATCGAAGGTTCCTGTAATAGTCTAGATAACCTACCTACAGGTTTCTGTAATAGTTACCTACCTACAGGAGGTTTCTGTAATAGTTACCTACCTACAGGAGGTTTCTGTAATAGTTACCTACCTACAGGAGGTTTCTGTAATAGTTACCTACCTACAGGAGGTTGTTGTAATAGTTACCTACCTACAGGAGGTTTCTGTAATAGTTACCTATGTTACATGAGGTTTATGTAATAGTTTACCTACAGGATGTTTATGTAATAGTTACCTACCTATATGATGTTTTTTGTTATAGTTACCTACCTACAGGAGGTTTCTGTAATAGTTACCTACCTACAGGAGGTTTATGTAATAGTTCCCTACCTACAGGAGGTTGTTGTAATGGTTATCTACCTACAGGAGGTTTATGTAATAGTTACCTATCTACATGAGGTTTATGTAATAGTTACCTACCTATAGGAGGTTTCTGTAATAGTTACCTATCTACATGAGGTTTTTTGTAATAGTTACCTACCTACAGGAAGTTTATGTAATAGTTACCTATCTACATGAGGTTTATGTAATAGTTACCTACCTACAGGTGGTTGTTGTAATAATTACCTACCTACAGGAGGTTTATGTAATATTAACCTACCTACAGGAGGTTTTTGTAATAGTTATCTACCTACAGGAGGTTTATGTAATAGTCTAGGTTACCTTCCTACAGGGGGTTCCTGTAATAGTTAGGTTACCTACCTACAGGAAGTTTCTGTAATAGTTACCTACCTACAGGAGGTTTCTGTCATAGTTACCTACCTACAGGAGGTTTTTGTAACAGTCTATTTTACATGTACCTACAGGAGGTTTTTGTATTATTTACCTGTCTACAGGAGATTTTTGACAGTCCTTTTTTGACCTACTAACACGTTGTTGTTTTAATAGTTTTAGTTACTTACCTACAGGAGGTTTTTTGACGGCCCGTTTTTGTTGTGGCGTGCTGTCTGTTTTAGTAACCTACCTACAGAAGTTTTTTTTTGACGGCCCTTTTTTGTTGTGGTGTGCGTCTATTATAGTCTAGGTTACCTACCTACAGGAGGTTTTTTGACGGCCCGTTTTTGTTGTGGTGTGCTGTCTGTGGGAGTGGTGGTGGTTGTGGCAGCTGCTGGTTCTGATACGGAGGTCTCAGGAGTGGATGTGGTTTCTTCAGACATTCTGGTGGTGTATACTGTCTTAATGGAGTAGTCTTACAATGATGTTCAATCAATGACAGGCAAAAATGTCAGCACTACAAAAGATATAACAACAAGAAATTCAGGTAAAATATTTAGTTTTCTTAAAATCTCTGATCAGAATTCCAGACAATGCATGGTTGGGATTGCCTGTCTGTAAACTCAAAAAAATAACCAATTTATCTTCATGCTATCTTGGCTTGCACTTTTATATTAAATCATTTTACAACCAATACCAAATGAGGATACAGATCAAAAAATACCTATAACCATACAGATTTATAGACAGTGGGAAACTCCCAATACCTATCTTTCAAAACAAGATAAAAATACTGTATTAAGCAGCAATTTTACATACTACACTAAATCATAAAAGCCCATGTTTTGATAATTATATGTTTATGTACATCTTCAGGAGATGTTCATCTTATACTTTTTGTAAATATTTCTAAAATGTTAACATACTGCATCTGCTATAATATGGGCAGTGACCCTCATTTTAGTATGTAGAGCATGGCCCTTAATTAAATCTACAATACATTCACCTCCATTCAACAAATCTAGGCATGGGTAATAAAGATATATCACTGTGAACTGCACTCCTTCCCAAATTAATTCAAGCTGAAACATGACAACATCCCAGCATTATCTTAAATAACCTAAATTACAAAGATAAAACATTTTATGTTGTCCAACCCCTATTGTCCAACATTGCCTCAAATAGCACCTGCTTTATTTAGTTAAAAAAAACTCTGAAAATCCACCTCTCATCTTTTTCTCCTAATTAAAGAAAAAAACAGACAAACCTCCCACTAAATCCTCCTCCCCACGTATCACAATAACGACCTTTACTAGGGTACCATACAGCTCATTATCTGTACTATCTATATAAAATATCCGTCAATAAAATCTCAGATAAAATACCCTAGTCTTATGATGAGGTATAGCTATAAAGCTAACACTGTTAGTTTCAGTATGTACCTGTATACAAATTACCCCCGCGAGGATCAAAGGTCCAGACTCCCTGTTAATATTTATCTCTCACTAGATTTCTCCCACTGAAGGCTATTGGGTATAGATACATACACTGCAAGTGCTCACAAATTGTTAAATGATCTTAATGCATAGTATTACATAATCTCCACTTCACAAGGTAGTAGCCTTCTCATGGGGGGGAACACTTAGTCACAGAGTATAACAATGTAAGGCTGCAGCTGATTCTACGCAGTTAATGCTTTTGCTTTGATCAAAGAGGAAATCTTAACAGTAATTCCATGTTAATTAGCAAATGATGAAATGCATGTTCTTAAAATATGTTTTCAATATTTTGATGCAACCAGTATTTTCATTTAGATATGCATTTGGAATTTTAACTCTTACCTATCGGTGCATAATACCAGCAATCCTAAATAATCTAAGACTCATCTTAAAATCTTAACATTTCCTTATACATGTTCCTATACCTTAATTCTTTGAAAGCAGTGCATTTAAAAGAAATCTATCGAGCAGTAAATAATCAGGGACAAAATATATGGAAAATCCAAAAATTAAATACAAAATGAATTAATCAGCTTGAGTTAAAATATGCAACTTATGCATCAAAACAGATTTAAAAATAAATATCCACCACATTTCCCACTCTTTCCTCTGAAGTGCACTGAAAATTCTCTGAAGCGCATAAAAATTCTGCAGGTTTACAAAAATGTGTCAAGAGCCTCTCTGCTATATAACCACATTAATTCAGGATGTCATAAATATGGATATGGACATCAAAATTAAATGGGAATTAAAAAAAGTAATAAATATTAACCATAACAATTGTTGAAATGGGGATTAATCTGTTAATTATCTTTTCTGTACATTCCTAATGTGATTTAAAATCTTTTTTTCTCTCTTAATGATAAATCGTACATGAGTGATTTCACAGTTACACCTCAAAACACAAATACGTCAGCTGATGATTATCCTCCCCGTTTATGTCATGCAATTCTCGTTAACAATTACCCTCTCACCTCAGTTAAATATTACTGCACATACTACATCAATCACCTTAATATATGTGGCCCTTGACAAAGAAGAATACATGTATCACTATGACAAGTTTTCTAACAAAAAAATATATAAAAAGTTATTAAAAACATTCTATATCAATATTATGAGAAGTATTTTTTCATTTCATTCGGTAAATGATTCCTGCATATAGTTTTCCTCATAAAAATGTTACAAAAAGATTTGATAAATTACAAGAATTAATTAGTTTTTTTTTTACTCATCAAACACTTTAAACATTTTATCAAGTTGAAGTACTTTGTCATAATCATCCACCTCCGGATTAACAGATACAAAACAAAAGAACATGTATGTGCATAAATTATGCAGTAACAGCTACAATTTGAAATCTAAATCAAGCTATGCAAAAACTGAAATATTTTTTACCCGGTAAATGGTTTTTTATCCAAAGTTCCATGATAGAGGCCAATAAATATACACATGTATTTCATGACAGCAAACATTCTTTTCTCACTATTAGCTGTAGTTCATTAACTAGCTGGTGTTTAAAAATCAGAATGGACATCTATATATCCTAATTTTTTGTATTATACTTTTGATAGTGCAAATTCCAATTTCAATTTTCAGAAAAGAAGAGAAAGAAAGAGAGTTATGGTGACAAATATCTCATCGTATGCCTAATTTCTTATAAGTAAAATAAAATAACCCATTATTTCAAAAACTGCTTAATTTTAAAAACATGCCAAACATGTAACATATAATAACAATTAGTTAAAAAACTTGTAGTACATTTTCTGTCCCAAGTCCCAACCTCCTTTCACATCCAACTCAAATGGGATGTCATATATAACAAAATGGGGAAAAAAGTCAATCTGTATCAATTCTTTAAAATAATTCTCAAGAAAACATTTGAAAATGGCTTGCTTTAACCCTTTCACAATAACGGTGGTACACGTATTACTCTTTTCCGGGGCAAATTAATAACACTAGGCAAAGTTTTTGTTGACATTTACAAACAATTATTATTTATGTCATATTCACCAAAATATATCATTTTAGCTCACCTGAGCCAATGGCTCATTAAGACAAGTGAGCTTTCCCGATGTCCCCCATCACATTTTGTCTGGTGCATTGTCCGTCTGTCTGCGCAACTGTCTGCGGAGTCCCCCTCTCCCCCTTAATTTTAACTTTTCAATACTGAAATGATTTGTGTTTTTTTTCCCTTATCGAAACTGTCTATTGTAATTCCACATGATTTCCCTTTGATACACGAACTTTCTAAATTTGGTGACAGTGAAATAATGATTTTTCTGTTCAAAGTATAGATGTAATCTCACAAATATGATTAAATTACAAGGTCTGCTTTTGAAAAAGCTTCTTTTCTTCAAATATTGTAATGTATTACAAATGCGAAACAAATCTACATGACTAGTTAAATGATAATAAAGCAAGGGGATATCTAGTGCCAAACTTTTACATGTATTGTAACTTGGCATTTATTAGAAATTCACTTATTAAAGTATTAGATCTCTATACAGTGTAAGTAAAATATCTTTTTGTCACTGTCAACAAAGAACGAGAGAGTTACTATAAATACCTACTAAATCCAAGTTTTTCGACATAAAGAAATAAATCTTAGTTTAATGCTAATTGCTAATAAGCAGGGTTATCAAATCAATTAATTTAATCAATTCAGTTTTATACAGACATTCGGCTTGCCATTGTCAGATTGTGTAATAACATTAACAATAAATGTCCCTAGCATAATAAACACCTCCCCCTTGTTTACGACTAGCGACTACAAAGTTAGTGTACACCAATATACATAGAAGTCGACTTACAACGGAAAATTGTTTAAGAAAATTAAGGCATACTTACCATTATGTATAATTTTTCAATATGTATGCATTTAAAGAGTATTAAATCGTCATATCATTGCCTCCTCAGTCAAGCAAAACAAACTACACGCCTCCTATGTACAGCAAGGTGACACACCCTTGACGTAACAGACACGGCGGATTAAAGTATGTGAAATGACCCCCCCCTTTTTTTTTTAAATATGTCCTTAAGAACACTAGTGAAAGACTTGAAATAATTCTTTAATTTTTTAACTATATATTTTTTATCAAATTTTTATTTGAATGTTTTGAATTGCGTTCCAAAAATAAAGCGCAATTATAATATATATATTTAATGCATTTATTAGCTCATCACTGTTTATACTATACTGCTTGCATAGTGATTAATATGTTTAATCTTCAAGTTGTAATACACTGCATAGTTGACTTCACTGATGGTCCGTGTAACACTTAACAATTCAAATTTCTAAAACGATTTAGAGTTTTAGAATGTTAATATATTAGTTCAAACATCTAACTTTCAAAAACTCAAACTGATTTCGTATATTGAAATTTAATATTTTAGTTCAAAAATCGAAATTTTCAAATTTCCAGATAGGTTTTAGAATTTTTATATCTTAGATTTTTACCTTAATTTTTCAAAATTCAAATTACCAAAAACGATTTATGGAATAAACGTTTGAGGGTCTAAGTTTGTCAGAAAGTTTACACAACAATCTAAAGTTTGGTAATATTTTTGTCTGTGATTATTTGAAATTAGCTTCAAACTTCTAAAATACAACTTTGAAACGTTTAAGATTTTTAGAAATTTTGGTTCAAATGTTCAAATTTTAATAACTTAACACAGTTTTTAGAATTTTACTTTAAATATCCAAAATTTAAACCAGGAATGAACATATTTTGGATATTTGAATTAAACCTCTAAAAACTCAAAATGTACACGTGTTTTGGTTATTTTAAAGTTGCAATCTTAAAATCAAAATTCTAAATTTCTAAAAATCTAAAGCGTTTGAAAGTTGGAAGTTTGAGGTAAATTTTAAATAATTAAAAGACGAAAATGTTATCGAATTTTAGATTGTTAAGCGTAAACTTTCTAAACAAACGGTAGATTAAAAACTCTAAAGTTTAAAATACAAAATTTGTTTTTGGAAATTTGAATTTTGAATATTTAAGGTAAAAATCTTAAAACTCAAAAGGTTAAACCTGTTTGGAAAATTGAAAGTTTAGGTTTTTGAACTAAAATATTAAAATTCAATATACAAATCAGTTTGAGTTTTTGAAATATATAACAATATATTATAAAACTCTAAATAGTTTTAGACATTTATATTACACCCCAACCCATACACTTCCATGTATGTATGTATTTTTGTCCCCCGCTTTCGCGAAAGCGAGGGGACATTAAACCTCCTCCGTCACATCTGTCAGTCTGTCAGTCTGTCCGTCACATATGCCCATAACTTTTGATTTAAAGCTATGAAATTTCACAAGTGTATTCCTTGTGACAAGACCTTTCTTTAAAACCACCAAATTTGACCTTTTGACCTTGACCTTGCTTTCATCACTTTTACACAGAAATTTCAAACTTTTACTTTGGTCATAACTTTTGAATAAAAGGTACTAGGACTTTCATATTTTACAAATGTATTGTTTGTGACAAGACCTTTCATTGGATACCAACAACCTTGACCTTTTGACCTTGACCTTGGAGATTTGCGTACTTACATAAAAAACGTTAACCTTGACCATAAGTTTTGAACGGTGAGGACTAAGGCTTTCGTACTTCACAATGTAATATATTATTGGATACCAAGAACTTTCACCCTTTGACCTTGACCTTGGAGTTTTAACTACTTTTTAAAAACTTTAATCTTGGTCACAACTTTTAAACAGTAGATACTGAGACTTTTATATTTCACATATGTATTCCTTGTGCAAGACATTTCATTGGATACCAACAACCTTGACCTTTTGAACTTGACCTTGGAGATTTTAACTTTTCATAACTTTTGAACGGTGAGGGCTAGGGCTTTCGTACTTCACATATGTAATTTTTTTGAGAAGACCTT